TTTTGTTTTAATTTTTTTTCCACAGTTTTTTTCTCTGCTAAATTGATTCTCATGTAATTTTTTTGTTATAATAATTAAAAAAATTGACAGTTCTCAGCTAAACAAATGATGTTCAATTAATAAAATTCATTTTTCCAGCTTGTATTGATAAATCAAAATGTTTTATTGAAAATAGGATTGTTTTCAACAAGATAAATTCGCAGTATGCATCTAAAACACGAACAATTGACGATAGGAGCCGAAAACATCCGAAGATGCTCTTGATATAAATAAACATTAAATATTAAATTGACATAACCAGTAAACAAATGTCTTAATATAAATAATAATAGAAAAAATGTTGTGGTTTTTTATTATTTCAATATTTTCAACATTCAAATTTGTATCTGCCTCTGGGGATTTTGATTTTGGCGACACACTGGCACTTATTATGGGATTATCTATTGGAATTGTTGCATTTTTTGCCTGTATGGGAGCTTATGCTCGTCGAAGAGGTCAATTTGAGACTTTATGAGTTCACTTTATTGATTTTTGGTAAGAAATAGTTATATTTTATTTTATTTATAAAAAAAAATTTCTAATCACAATATTTTTGTTACAGATATTAAGATGAAACGACTGACAACAAAAAATGAGATCTGAAAAATGTCTTCCAATTAGTATAATCAAAATTTTTTGTATTGACATTTCTAAAAAAAAATATTTAACTATGAAAATAAATATTTTATTTTGGTAAGATGTATACATTCTATTCTTCTTAGTCTTCTCTCTATAATTCTTGAATATTGATTTAATTACTTTAAAAGAAACAGCTGTATGGGTGGTTCTCCGTAAGGAAGCCTTAAATCTGTACAAAATTGTCCGACAAAATTATTTTTGATTTTATTAGAAAAAAAAATTAACAAGGGCTACAAAACTATCAGCTTAATTATAATAAATAAACAGCCGAATTAATTTTTGATTTTTCGATATTTGTGTATTTTTTGTCACATAACATGACAGGGGACTGATTTTTTTTATCACATTGAGAAAAATCAAGCAAACTATTTCAATGCATTCAACTTTTTATGTTCTCAATGAATGTTTACATTAATTAGAATAATATTAAGACTTATGCATCCAATTTTATAAATAAATTATGAACAAAAATAGCTGCCAGGGGACTGAATTTTTATCTGGCCCAGACACATATTTCCAGCACAAACGGTGATTTGACACTAAATAAAATGCCGATAAAACGCTAACAGCCCTATGGTTATTAACTTAAGGCTAGTTAGATCCTTATAAACTTTACAAAAGGTAAAATAACACGCTATAGATTGTTTTTTTTTTTTCGGCTTTGAACTTCTGACAGGGGACTGATTTCAAATGCCTGGGACAAGCTTTGATTTAATGAAACAAATTAATTTTCGGTACTTTTTATTGAAGAAGATTGTTAGTTAACTAATTAAGTTTATAAACATTATGGACCAAATTATTTATTATTGACGAATAACTTAAAATTTAATCTTAAAGTTATAATTTTGGGACTGGGACAGCCCAGGGGACTGACATGTCGGTGGTTTACGAATTTATAGCAAAAAAACTAAAATTTATTCCATTTTAGTTTTCAATGCTCCAAATAGAAATGTTTTTTTACTTTCGTAATAAATTTTTTTTAGTAAAAAAATAATAATTTTTCTAATAATAAAATGCCTGGGACAGCAAAAAACATCCTTACAGAGAATCACCCTATACATACCATAATAATAATAATAATAATAATAATAATAATAATTGCTCTGAAAAAATAAACAAAATATCAAAAATAGATAATTCTAAAATTTCATCAAAAGCTTATAAAATTCCAATTATTTATATGCAATATATAAATAACGCAATAATTTTTTTATATTGTAATTTTATTGAAAATGTAATCATATTTTTTTTTAGTTTATTTAATCTATCTGTATATATATTTTTTTATTGAGCACCTGCTGCTTAAAAATTATGGAAGAGAATATTTAAATATTATTAAAATAAAATAAAAAAAATCTACGCGATGCAATTGACAAGTTTACACCCACAATTTTTGAATTTATATAAAGCTTATTAATTCGTGACTAAAAGCATTTACCGTAATTTATTTTTTATTTAATTTTTTAAATAAAAAAAAATAATTTTTAGTTAAACTATAAGACTCTATATTCTAAATATTATTTATTTATTATTAAGGACTATTTATTCGAAAATAATCACTTAATAATTTATAATTAATATAGCTCATTAAAAATATCTAATCAATAAAATTATTCATCCAATTTGAGTCAGTAATATTTGTTGATATATATAATCTCCATGCGTATTTACGTCTTATAATTACTTCATTCCTCTGATCATTGATTTCAGCATTTACCGTAATTTATTTTTTAATTAATTTTTTAAATAAAAAAAAATAATTTCTAGCTAAACTATATTCTTAATATTATTTATTTATTATCAAGGACTATTCATTTAAAAATAATTACTTAAAAATTTATAATCAATAGAGCTCATTAAAAAATATCTAATTAATTAAATTATCCATCCTATTTTAGTCAGTAATATATATGTTGGCATATATATAATCTCTATGCGTATTTACGTATTATAATTACTTCATTCCTCTGATCATTGATTTTAGTTGGTTACCTAACAGGTTGGTCACGTCATAATATATAACACATATTTTACATCACTTAATTAAAAATTAAACAAAATAATCCAAATAAAATTTTCAATTTTATTTTAAAAATTAAATTTTCTCAATAATTTTTTGCAATTTATTTTTATTTTTATCTTTTCTCAAATTAACATTTCTCTTCAAGAATCAATTACAATATAAACAATCAATTTAATTTTTATTGACAAAAAATTTTACTGAGGCAATATCTATTTAATAATTTTATTTTACTGCAATTACTGTACAAATTTATTGGCGATTTTAGTTATTTATTTTATTAATTATTTATATACTTCTTATAGACTAATATTAAACTGAAATAATCAATCACCCAACAGAACATTCATCAATTATACTCAATATTTTTTTAGCTATAAATAAATGGCTATTTTTATCCAAACAGTATATTTTAATTTTTTTTTCTCTACTTGTCATTATTGCAAAGTCATTTATGTCAGCTGTACTGATAATTAATAATTAATTATTTGATTAAAAATTACGTAATTATTTTTTTACATTTAAAATTTTTTTCTTTTCATTCACAACTCAATCATTCATATTTTGAGTAACAATATTACAAATAATTATTAAATTTACTTGAATTCAGTCATATTACATTATTATAAATTAAGAAAATGATCTATTATAATTCTAATTACATCAAACCAACAAAATAAAAACAAAAAAAAACGTAATTTAATTATCTCAAGTACTAAATTTTAGATATCTCAAAAAAATAATTAATTAATACATTAATTATCGTAAATATCACGAAATTAATAGGCATAATAATAATCATCATAGCAATCACTAAATTTAATAAGACCGCAAGTCATAAAAATTAATATTTAATATATAAATATATAATAAAAGCATCATCGGGTTTTTAATTTAATACAAAATAAAATAATCATTAATAATAGCATTAAATAAAAATAATGCAATATGAAAAACAAATTAACTAGTAACACAATTTGTTTTTTATTTTTTATTTTTTTTTTTTTTTTTTTAATCGGAGTAGTTTTAAATCGATAAAAATACATTAAAGCATAATAATGACTACATATTTAATTAATAAAACCCGAATTTCATGCGTCCATACTTTTCCATTCCTATTATTAATTTTAATTTTATTTTTATTTCGTCATTTTTCAAAAAATTATAGATACTTTTCAACAGTTAACTATTTTATTAATTAATAATAATGTAATTAATTAATTAATTAATAACCACTTGTCATTCGAATTATAAAGACTAGCTGAGGCCTGCACGAAAACCGGTCACGCCTTTTATAATTTAAAGGGCAAACGTTGAAACCAAAAATTACAATTTTTATTTAAAAGTAATCACATTTTCTAAATTATTTTCATTTTCATTTTAATTATAATTAACTTCGATTCTTGTCTTATATTTGCACCAATTATTCGGAATTCCGACAAAGGATCTTGATAAAAAAAATTAAGATAACCCGTGCTCTTTTTAGATCCTTTATACACGGAAAAAACAAGATGATACTGGATATCATTCCAGATTATAGCTAGTATAATTCAGATTACAATGAGTATAATCCAGATGAATCTCGAAAAAAATAGACCCGAAATAATTTTAAAGTTATGAAAAATTTATATAATTTAATTAAAATTATTATAAAATAAAAATTATAATAAAATAATATTTTTTTTTTCATAACTTTAAAATTTTTTCCAAGTCAATTTTTTCCGATTATCAATCTAGATATTACTCAGTATAATCTGGATTATACTAGCTACTATCTGAAAATTTTTTTCACTAAATATATCACTGAGCATAATATAATCTGTGATGATATCCAGATGAAATTTTTTTTCACCACAGATATCACTGAGTATAATCTGAGATGACATCCAGTGTCATCTTATTTTTTCCGTATACTTAAAAAAAAAATTTTTTTTTTTCGTTTGAACGCACGCATACGGTATTACCGCAACAAGCAGCAAGCGTTTCTGGCACATTGAGGAATACATATTTATATAGATCCTAAAATAATAAATGTAATAATAAAAATAATTACATAAAGAAAAATATTCACAGATAAAATTTGTCTGACAGTTTTAGTTTTTTAGTTTCTCTTAATAGTCCAAGTTCACTTTAAAAATATCATTATTTATTTATTTATTATTATTAAAATAATTATTAATAATAATTTTATTATTGTTACTATTAATAATAAAAGATATACTTATATTAAAAGTAGAATAAATAATAACACATAAATTGATAAACGCACTAACAAAACCACGACGATGAATTATTAAAAATATTACTGTTCTAATTGGGAAGTGCTGGATTGGGTATGTTCCGATTGCGGCTCTCCTGGAGGAGTACCATCGTGTGAATTGCCAATGTGAGGCGTAGCCGGAGTTGTTGGTTGGGATTGAGGAGTCCCAGTTGGTGCGTAAATAAGACGGTAGCCAGCAGGTAGGAAAAATCCACTGTGAGGTGTATAACTGAATGCTTGAAAATTGGCTAAAGTCTTTGGATCATGATAGTGAATGTAACTGGGTCCACTGGCTGTTGGTATTGCCGATGAGGCGACTAAAGAGCCGCTTGGTCCGGACCCAATACTGCCATCAGAGAGTATTGAAGTCAACTGATACTGCGGATGGCTTGACACAGTCGTTGGACCGTTTGTAGACCCGATTATTTCTGGTTCTGATGTATAATTTGGAACGTTTTGAATATTGTCTGCTGATGGCATTATTGGAATTGGTATCACATAAGTATGAGGAATACCCGTGTGCTGTTGAGGTGCTTGCTTCAACTTCTGGGTTGCTAGGCGCAATGTCTCTTCTGTATCCTGCGAATAATTGGAAATACGATGGAAAGATGTCTGTGGAGCTGTGCTGAACATCAAGTAATCCTCTACTGCCAAAGGTCTTGATGATCCTGATTAAATAATTTATTTAGTATCAAGCAGTTTTATTTATTTAGCTGGATAATCAATTAATTAAATGCTCCTGTAATGTTCACCTGTAACAGTTGAGGCAACAGTGTGGTATAAAAGAGGTTGGTGTTGATGTTGGTGCAACGCGCTCGCCTGTTGCTGCTGTTGTATCAGCAACTGGAGCTGTTGCTGCTGGAATAGCTCCAATTCTTCTCTGTGTTTCTTTTGCAACGTTTCCAATTCTAACGTTTGTCTGAAAATTTTCCAAAATAATTATATTTATTTTATTATTAAAATCAAGTTTGTTTTTATAATTATTGAGATATTGATATTACCTTTTTATTAACATTTGATACTCTTCGCTTGGAGTCAATAATTGTATCCTTTCTTCTTTTTCAATCTTTAAAATAAATAAAAAAAAAATTTTATTAATTATGTATAAATTATTATAATAAACAATCTGAGCCTATGGTAATTATTTACAAGAAAAAAAAAAAACTTTTGATAGCTTTTTTGCCTTCAAAAGTTGGAAAAAAATTTGATTCTCATGTTTTTAGATAAAATTTATATTTTATCTTTTTTTGATGTTTTTGATATATTTTTTTTTTTTGAAAAGTACATAAAAAAACAAACAATTTAAAAAACAAAAAGTTCAATATCACAATTTTCTAAAAAATTTATAACTTTTTTTGAAAATTTATTAAAATTATAATAATCAACTTTTTTTTTTTAATTGTTCATTTTTTTATGTATTTAAAAAAAAAAAAATCAATAAAATCAAATATAAATTTTGTTCAAAAAAATGAAAATTAAAATGGTTAACCCCACTTGTAAATATTTACCGCCGATTTATATAATTACTATTCTGATTTATATTTTGATCTATTTCTTCAAAATATTTATACACTAATATCGAATTATCTAGTTGTATTAAGTAAGGGCTAGTGCCTATTACTATTATTTCACGTATAACTTTTTCCTTGTTCTTCTTATTAAATTTAGAATTACGGTATAAATTATAAATTATAAATTAAATACTCAATCTCTTACGTGTTTTTTAATGAAACTACTATATGTTGCCATTCGGCCAATCCCTTGGCATCAAATTAATCTAAATAAATAAATAATTAAATTATTACGTACTTCAGTAATAGATGGTGTAGAAGATGAAATTGGCGGTATTGAATTTTCACGGCTGTGAATTACTTGAACTGCATCTAAAAAAAAAAATTTTTTTTATTAATTACAACCTTAAAACTATTCAAATATATCGCGTGACAAATGCCAAAAGATCAGTAGAAAAATTTTTTTTGACTTACTAATGCTAAGAGCTTCTAAAAAAATTATGTTTTTTATTACAAAAAATGAAAATAATGCTACATCAATGAAGCAATATATGATAATAAATATGAAACATTATAAATTAAACTACAAGGGGCAAAACGGTCACTGAAAAAAAATGTTTTTTAATTTTTATAAAATAGTAAAAAAATTTTTCTAGTTTTATTTTACTCTATTTAGAATTTTCAAAAATTACTAAATTATTTTTTCTTTAGCTAAAAAAATTTTTAAGCTTCTAAAGTCAAAAAGGCATATAGATATACAACTTATTGGCATTAATAACGCAATATATTATTTATTAATGTAATAATAATATTAATGAAAATATTTTACTTTGAATATCATCCATATGATGAATAGTATGTGTCCGTTCTCTTTTATCATCCTGAAGTTGAACCTGTTTCTGTTCCAATTGAGTTTGTGATAAAATTTCACCCGTACCAGGCGGTCCAACAACTTTGGATACCATGAATCTCGAAATTTTCCTAGTTGGTTGACTTGAAGAAGCTTTCTGTTCACTAGTATCTTGTCCAGGCGTGTCAACTTGTCCAGGAGTCTCAGTTCCGGGTGTTCCAGTGACACAAGGCGTTGTTTTGGCCACACTGGAAACCGGAATAACCGGAGTAAGAAGAGTCTGAGTAACAGACTGTGACGGGAGTTGATTAACAATTTGCTGAGTATTACTAGCCGGGACTGGTGGAGTTATCGGCTGGGGCGAGGACGTAGAAAGAACTAGTCCACGGTGATGAATCTTAGACAACTCATGCTCCAGCTCTTGAAAGCGAGAACCTGATCGTTGACTTCTAGATTTACTCTCTTTGCTAGGACTCATTGTCTCGGCATTAGAAGTTTGATTCAAAGTTGGACTATCTAGCGCACTTTCAGTGTTTGATTGAACGAACTGCGACATTGTTTGGTCACTTTGATTGTTGTCAAAGGTATTGGTGACATTGGCGTCAATGTAAATAGTCCCCGGAGAATGGACAGTAGTCTGAGGAGAGACAAATCCAATTGAGTGGACGGACGTTGGTATATTGACCGATGTTTTTTGCGGCAAATGATGTCCAGCAGTTGGCGTCTCATAGCACAGGTTGTTCGACTGCCCATGAGGAGTCGCCGGATGGCTTATCGGCGGCGTTCCAATGTTCAGCGTATCACAAGGCTGACTGGTTAATTGAACAAGCTTCTGATGAAGATCCGCTATTGTATGCGGCCCACAAGTCCCACTACTATTATTAGCAGTCTCTGATAATTTATCCAGCGAATTCTGCTGGCTCAGCTTATGCTGCTGCTGTTGAGGGAAATAATAGTGAGAATTAGATCCAAGATCCGCAGACTCTACTAACATCGTATGCTCAGGAGTTATTTCATAACTCGAATTTTCATGCTCAGATAGAGTATGATAATCCGAGCTAGTTCTTCTGCTGACACTTCCATCAACTGTGTTGTCCGATTCCGGAAACTTCAAATTATCTTGCTCTTGTGATTGTGATTGTATCTGAGCAACAGGTTGCAAGTTTTGAATAGGCTGTTGGACGTATTGCATTGGCGCAGATTGAGCAACGTTATGACCAGAGTAAGGTGGCATTACCCACTGACCCTGAACTGTAAAGTTTTGACTGTGGCCTTGAATCGTTTGTGTTACAACCTGACTCTGAAGATCTATTTGTTGGTTCATTTGTTGCATTGGTGGTTGAGATTGTTGCTGCTGTGGTTGTGGTTGTTGTTGTTGTTGTTGTTGTTGAGCCACCGATTGAATTGGTTGTTGCTGATGAGAATGATAGATTTGCGGCTGCTGTTGTTGTTGTTGCTGCTGCTGCTGCTGTAATAACTCAGACTGGTTTTGAATCTGAGAATGATAAGACTGCTGGACATCAGTTTGATTTTGAATCTGTGTATGATAAACATGTTGCTTAACTTCAGTTTGATTTTGAATTTGAGTATTATAAACTTGATGCTGCTGGACATCAGTTTGATTTTGAATCTGTGAATAAGCTTGCTGTTGCTGTTGTTGCTGTTGTTGAATATCTGATTGATTCTGAATCTGAGAATAAGCTTGTTGTTGTTGAATATCAGTTTGATTCTGAATCTGTTGATGATAAACTTGCTGTTGGACCTCAGCCTGATTCTGAATCTGCGAGTGATAGGTCTGTTGTTGTTGTTGTTGTTGTTGTTGTTGTTGTTGTTGAATATCAGTTTGGCTTTGAATCTGGGAATGATACTGTTGTTGAACATCAACTTGGTTTTGAATTTGAGATAAATAAATTTGTTGTTGTTGTTGCTGTTGTTGCTGTACATCAGCTTGGCTTTGGATTTGTTGATGATAAACCTGCTGCTGAGGTTGCTGCTGTTGTTGCTGTTGAACCTCATTTTGATTCTGAATCTGAGAATAATTACTCTGCTGTACCTCTTGTTGATTTTGAGCCTGCGCATGAATTCCTTGCTGTTGAGGCTGTCCTTGGAAATTCTGCAACTGAACATAAGTCTGCATATTCATTTGCGGCATCTCAGGTTGAATTGGTTGAAAATATTGTTCAGAATGCAAAACCGGAATCGACTGATGCTGATTAGCCGCAGTAGCATTCAACTGATCATGACTGATAATATTATGCGGCGTGGTAGACTTTTTAGGATTAGACAAAATATTAGCAAGATTTTGAGCAAGATCCGGAAGAGTAGAAGACACTTCTTTAGCTTTAACCTTCGGAGTCACTTCCACAGTCTGTGCTGACATTTGCATTGGAGTAGAAAGATTAACATTCTGTAAATTTTGATGAACATTTTGATACTGCTGATCAGCAGTTCCAATCTGATTATGATCCGGCTGATGTAGCTGTGTTACACTCGGAGTTTCAGACGTATGAGAGTCTGAAGAAACACTGGAGCCTCTACAAAGCCACTCTTCAACATTATTCTGCTGAATTTGCTGCGGCAGAGGCTGCATCAAAACATAGGGATGAGAAGCAGCTTGTGGTTGTGGTTTTTGAACAGCTGGTTGAGAGAGTGTCTGCTGAATAAACTGCTGTGGTATTTGATGCTGAACTTGACCAACTGATATCTGATCCTGGATGTGCTGCTGCACAATATTTTGCTGCTGAATGCCAACTTGCTGTTGATGCTGATGCTGAATCACAGAATGCTGTTGAACTGTAACTTGCGTTTGATACTGAGTCAAAGGTTGTTCTTGTTGCTGTACTCCAGAAGCAGTTGGTTGAAATTGAACGTTTTGCAGCAATTGGGGGTTTGTTTGCTGAGCTAGGTTTGTTGTCTGTACCAGAACTACTGTCTCTTGCTTCGTCTGGGTAACAACTCCCTTAGGAAGCATTTGACCCATCATTTGCTGTACTCCCATCTGAACTTGATTCATATTTTGAATTTGTTGTGATTGTTGCGATTGTTGCGCTAGCTGTAATTGTTTCGCATATGATACTTCACTGCTATTATTATCCATGTCATTTAAATTAGATCCTTCTTCAGTATTTGCAAAACTATTTTCTAAATTTAATCTTGATAACTGCTGAGGTAACTTCAGTACATTTTCACAAACGGTAACTGTATCAGACTCGCTGGAAATAGATTTTTGTTCAACAACTGGGCTGACTAAGAATCGTGAAATTTTACGCATTGGAACGGATTTTTTAGGCTCTAAAAATCCTTCTTGAGAAGATTCACAACTACTGTCTTGAGATTCCAATTTACGGTTTGATTGATTTAATGTCGCAATTTCAGGAACAGTTTCATCATCTACTTTTGAATTAGTTGGATCATTTTGTGAGTTAGATTCTATGCCTGATAATTTTTGTGTGTCGTTTGAATCCTCCATACTGATATTAGTAGAGTCTAAAGGTATGTCTTCACCTACAATAGTCTCACAGTTGTCGTTTGAATCACTTGGAATATTTACTGGTGTCAATGTGTCTGTATTTTGCGTTGAAGTTGAAGATCGCCTTGATATTTCGTCAGATATACTGTTTTCTGTAGTAGTTGCTGCTATATTTAGATTTTCTATTGAATTTACGGTACTAATCTGTTGTGGTTTATTATCCATTGAAGTCGCAGCAATGTGGGATATTATCTGGTCAATTGGCAATATTTTTGATGACCCTGAATTTGTTGTTTCGTCTCTCTGAAATTTACATCATTTTTTTTGTTAATTTATTTTTTAAAAAAGATTGTAACAAAAAATAAAAATAAATTTGAAAAAAAAAGTCCCTAAAATATTAATCAAATTTTACAATAATGCTGAAAAAAATCATAATAATAATAATAATAGATTATTTATTAATTAGAATATAAATTAAAGACAAAATATAGGTATTAGCTTGACAAATGATTAACAACCATTGTGAACGGAAAAAAAGTAGTAAAAAAAATAAAACAAAAGGACAAATACTGAAATAAAAAAATAAAAATAAAATAATGCAATTAAATAAATAAACACCAACAAATAATGAATGATTAACGAAAAAAATTTGATTCGAAGAGGACTAGAAGAACTCACCGAACGATGCCTACGATGAGCTTTATAGGAACATCGATGGCTGCTTTGTCGAGTTAGCGAGCCGTGTCTGACCTGCTGCGTCCAAAATTATACATACACTCAATTACAAATGGCTTTTTTTTTTCTAATTTTATTTATATACAACAATAAAGCCAACACTTTTTTTTATTTTTCTTAATTAATTTTACGGAACAATAATTAAAATTTTAACCGCAAAAGCAACTTTTATTTCCGTAACGTCCAAACTGAACAAGGAATCGTCACTAACTGAATATCTAAATTTTAAGTTCAAGTACTGAGTAAATATTTTAAGAATTTAGTCATTGATAATTACAAAGACATTAAAAAAAAATTAAGAATATCTGATTAAAATAGTCTAAGTATTTGTTGACATATTTTAACTTCTATTATTGTAAATACTTATGGGATTATTTTATTTGTAAGAAAATGAGAGAAAGAAAGAAATAAAGAAAAAAAAAGATAGAGAAGAAAAAAGTATTTTACTAATTTTAAACTACACGGAAAGAACAAGATGATACGGGATATAATCCCAGGTTATACTGAGTGAAAAAAATTTCAGATAGTAGTTAGTATAATCCAGATTACAATGAGTATAATTCAGATATCACTCTGTATAATCTTGATTTTTTTTTTTAGGTACTATCTGTATAATCCAGATTACAATGAGTATAATTCAGATATCACTCTGTATAATCTGGATTTTTTTTTTTAGGTACTATCTGAAATTTTTTTCACCACAGATATCACTGAAAAAAATGAAAAAATTTCAGATAGTAGTTAGTAAAATCCAGATATCACTCAGTATAATCTGGATTTTTTTTTTTTTAGCTACTATCTGAAATTTTGTTTCAGTTTTTGCCACAGACATCACTGAGTATAATCTTTGATGATATCCAGTGTTATCTTCTTTTCCCGTGTACCCTAAAATAAAAAAAAATATATTAAAATAATCACCTTAACCGCATCAAGATTGTACTCCCGAGCTCTTGGTCTACGACTAGTAACAGGACTTCCCCCAGCAGACTGATCAGCTGGTCCATGTGCAACAAGAGGAAGACTACGCGTTGGATCTAATCTCAATTGTTTAACAATGTCCTCAATTAATTCAACAAAAGTATCACACTGTGATTGCGGTAACAAATTTTCAGCCACCAAATTATTAGCAATATCTAACGGTACCATGTCATTACGATCAAATTTGAATACTACTGTTTTTTGTTTGCTCGTGTCTAATTGACATTCTACGGTCATCGATGAACCATCACTGTTGGTCACTGATAATACTGTTAATTTAATTCCCGTTTTGCGACGCTTTGTTCCTGATCTCTTGACTCTACTCTTTTCCGATGGCACCGTACCCTCTGTGCTTTCCTGATGTCCATCAGAAGAGCTGGGCAATTGTCCTGAAGATACAGGATTTTGAGCAATGGATTGAAGCTGCTCTTGCTGTAAACTTAAAGGTCCATCAGAGGTAACTGACAGAACAGACTCAACAGTGTCCTGTTTGTTCAACACACTTTTCTCAGCATTATTATAAATCTCAGTAGCATTTATCAACTGGGATTGATGTTGAATGTTAGTCGACTGCGTAGCACTGCTATTATTCTGAATAATATTCATATTAGCTGGAATAGCATTTACATTTTGAGTATACTGCATCTGCACCAACATATTCTGCTGTTGTGATTGCAACACCGAAGTATTTTGAATATTAGCGCAAGGACTCGCCTGTAAATTTTGCTGATGGACATTTTGAATCGCCGGAGAGTTTTGAACATTTGGAGTAGATTGAATGACAATTTGACCAGGTTGCCCAGAAGTTGAAACAAAATTCTGCCCTGTAGGTATCACCACATTAGAAGGAACGTTAGTGTTTGAATAAATAGCCTGAGCATTGTGTCCAGATTGTAAAATCTCAATATGTCCAGCCGCGTTTGAATTATTAGGATAAGATTGATAAATCTGTTGTTGATACAAAGTCGCGTTGGTAAATGCAGCAGTGCTAGTATTGCCTTGTTGATAATACTGCTGAACATTTTGTTGAAGCATTGGCGCTGAATTAACAGCATTAGGATGAATTTTCTGAAGCTGTTGCTGCATTTGAGTCTGTGTGTACTGAATATGTGTCTGGCCTTGTCGAATAACTTGCTGTTGCTGAGGATGGTTCATCTGCATCGCAGATTGCATTTGAGCTGGAACTTGAGTTGACAAAGGCATCTGCGACGGCACAGACATCTGATTAAGCATGTACTGCTGCGACGGCTGCGGCTGTTGGAGAATCTGAGAAGGTTGCTGAATTTGAGGCTGCAGAGTCTGCTGTATTTGCTGTGGCTGACTGTGGGTAGTCATTTGAAGCTGCTGTTGCGGTATCTGAGACTGAGATTGTATCTGAGGCGGCATTTGTGGCTGCTGTTGCTGAAGCTGTTGTTGAGGCTGAGATTGCATTTGAGTTTGCTGGGGCTGGATTTGAGGTTGAGGTTGCTGTTGTTGCTGAATTTGAGCCTGTTGTTGGATCTGAGGCTGAGATTGCATCTGCGGCATTTGAGTCTGTTGAATTTGAGTTTGCATTTGGGGATGTTGATGCATTTGAGGCTGCTGGATTTGAGTTTGAATTGTAGGTTGCTGGACTGAAGATTGCTGCTGCAATTGAGGCTGTACTTGTGGTTGTATATGCTGTTGAATAGAAGGAAATTGTGGTGGACCTTGAATAGTTTGTGGTGTGGAGCACTGTGAGGAGTTTGCGCTTAAAGCTTGTCCAACATGTTGAGAATATTGTGGTTGGGATTGAGGCTGAGATTGGAATTGTTGCGGCGACTGCTGCTGCTGCTGCTGCTGTGGTTGCTGTTGTTGTTGTTGTTGTTGTGGCTGCTGTTGTTGTTGTTGTTGTTGCTGCTGCTGCTGCTGTGGTTGTTGTTGTTGTTGTTGTTGTGGTTGTTGCTGCTGTGGTGGTTGATATGCTTGTTGTTGATACTGTACAGACTGTTGAGTATTTTGAGCAGCTTGAGGAATTTGTTGAGCTTGTTGAGGCTGGACCACAGAAGTTTGTTGTTGCTGCATCAGCGGTTGCTGCTGAATAATCTGGACTTGTTGCGGCTGCAGACATGCTTGACCTTGTTGATTTTGTTGCAAAAGTGGCTGTTGTTGTTGTTGTTGTTGTTGTTGTTGTTGTGGCTGTTGGGGTTGTTGCTGTTGATCTTGATGTTGCTGCTGCTGGATAATTTGCTGTTGGATCTGCATTGGTTGTTGAATTGATACTTGTCCCTGCAACATATTTATATTCGACTGAATTTGCTGTTGCTGCAACTGTACTTGCAGTAACAATTGCTGCTGCTGTTGCTGTTGTTGCAGTAAAGATTCATTAGCAGACTGAGTTTCAACGTCCCTATCAATCCGTTCTTTTTCTTCTTTATTTTTACGATCTTCGCGTTCTCTCAGCAAAGTAGCAATTTGTGATTTCAACATTTTAGTAATTGCCTTAGCGTCTTCTTCAAGAATCAAACTAGATTTAGCCATCTCCAATGCTACCTCTTCGGCATTATCTCTCTGTATGTCAAAATCAAACTGTATAGCCTCATTTTCTTTGTGCTTGTTGGTACGCTTCTTAGGATCTAGAACACGCAATCTAAATTCAACTCTAGACAATTCAGCGTCAGCTACCGCTGTTTCACGAGATACCATTTCTAATTTCAAACCTATGTCGTCAGCAAAAAATTCGTGGTTTAATAAATCTTTAACCAAAGGACGTTCATCTTTTTTTAAACGTATACACATTTCTATTATCTCACGTACTTCGGGATTTTCAACTTTGTCATAACTCAGTGGCTTAACACCTGATACAACTCGTTTATAAATTTGCGCTGGTCCAGCACACTCTGAATATGGATACTCAGACGTAGCCATCTCGAGCATGCACATACCAAAGGCATATACATCTACAGATTCATCATAATGTTCTTCATACATCTCTGGTGCCATGAATTCCGGTGTACCAATAACACTTTTAGCAAAACTTCGATTTTTTAAAGTTGCCAAACCTAAATCGCCTATTTTTACACTTCCAGTTGTTCCAGTAATAAAAATATTATCACACTTCAAGTCACGGTGAATTATTGGTGGTGATCTCGAATGTAAAAAACTTAAACCTTTTAAAATTTGTCGACACCATGATTTAACAACTTTTGGATTTATTTTTTTAAATCTTTTTAAATATCTAAAACAAAAAATTTATAAAATTAATAATAATTTATACAACATATACGGAAAGAACAAGATTACACTGAATAACATTCCAGATTATAGACAGTGACATCTGGAGTGAAAAAAAGTTTTAGATAGTTGCTAGTATAATCTAAATTAAATCTTGTCACAAATATAAACATAAAAATATACATCTTGTACACTATTTTTACGGGGACATGTCTATTCATACGTAAGAAAATCCTGATAAATCCACGCCACGTGAATATAAGTGTCTTAAAACCACGTTGCGTGAATATAAGGGCCTTAAAACCACGCTGTATGAATGTAAATATCTAAAGGACCTTATATTTACGCCGCGTGGATTTGTCAGGATTTTTTTACGTTTGATATGAATAGACACTTTTTTTTTACATACCTTTTAATTGTAATAATTATAACAGCTATAAAATATATTGTTACAGAGCAAAAATGTAAATGTTAACACACTAATTAAATGCACCAATTATATTTTTCTAATGTTCAAGGTACTGATGATTGACTACAATTCACAAATTGTAAACAGAACTTGACGCGCATGCGCTTAAAAGAAAATTACGGAGATACCATTGGTTGGGTATTTAGCCCTTTAATGTTCTGAAAGCGCTATGAATCTCAGTGTGAGCTGTTAGAGGAGAGAGCCAATCATAGTCCGTTATGCGGTTGTGTGAGAGACAGTTTAGTTGTGTAGTGTGTCCATGCGTTCCTCTCTAGGAAAAAGACTATAGCTCTCTCACTTAAAGAAAAAGACATATGACTCGAATTAAGAGTGGGGGGATTCAAGACCGAACATTAAAGGGTTAATCCAAATTCTACAGGATCCCAATCGGCACAAATTTTTTTTTGTAAAATGTTTTGTTGAATTTAAGTTGACGAATAATCATTTTTTAACTTCACTTTTTAAAAATAAGATGTATGACTACTTATTTAATCTGGATATTTAAACAACACGCATTTATTTAAATTTTATGATTACTTATTGAATTTTGTAAAGCCGTTGAGCAAATTGGTTAAATCGGAATGATGTTTTTTACGCTATTTATTTTTTATAATTTTAAATTTAGAATATATTACAATTAAATAGTTACTATAGCATAATAATAAAGTTAGCCGATATTTTTGACTTTTTTATTTTGCTTAATTTATTAAATTATAACTAAAAAATATTTTTAAAAAATTGCACTTAGTTTTTCAAATTTTTTACAAATGAAAATTGTTTTTTATTATTTTGTAATAATTTTTTCAATAAAAAAAAAAAATTCTAAAAATTTTTAGATGTCAGCTAACTTAATTTTCATTACTATAGCAAATACTAATATGATTAATAATAATGATACTAGTCAATATTGTTAATTTATCACTCTAATTGTATACTTTTAACTATTTCTGTATGTATATATAATGTACCCTTAAATTATGTCTGTATTTTTTATAAGTTTGCCATTCGGCCATTAGGCCTTGGCTTAATAAAGCAAATCTATCTATCTATCTAACTTCCTGTTGAATAAAATCTACCAAAAAGTCAACATTTTTTTTTTGTGACGCTTAAGATACAATCTCGGATTATATCCAGTGAAATCTTACGCGGTATAATCTGAGATTCTTCTGAGGGAAATAGGAGATTACAATGAGTATAATACAGATATTACTCAGTATAATCTGAATTATACTAGCTACTATCTGATGACATTAAAGTAAGCAGTGATAATTTTGGAATTTTTTTTTAACAAAAAAATTTGTTCCAAAAAATTATTTTTAAAAAATTGCATTTATAATTTTTTTAAATTTCTGCAAGTAAATTTTTTTTTTTGCTATAATTTATTTGTTAAAAAAATTATTAAATATCTGCTAAATTGATTCTCATTAATATCTGAGATTTTTTTTCACTTCAGATATCACTGACTATAATCTGAAGTGTTATCCAGTGCAATCTTGTTTTTTCCGTGTACTAAAGTTAAATAATTTATTTTATAATATATAAATAACCAATAAACTTACGTTTTTAATGTTCCTGAGGTCATTAGCTCAGTAACAAGAACAATGTATTTTCTTTTAGTAAGAGTGACTTCCCAATAATCATAAAATCTAACAATATTAGGATGCTGAAGACCCTTGAGCATTTCAGCTTCTTCACGGAATCTCATTCGTTCACTTTTATTTAATTTTTTTTCTTGAAGTTCACACCAAGCAACAGAAACTCCAGTTTGAGTATCCAGACCTCTGTACACAGTTTTAAAACTTCCACGTCCAATTTCTTCCTCAAATTTAAGAAAACGTTCATCAGGAGACATACCAATAGCCTTTTCTTCATCTTTATCCTCAACAGTTTGTACCTTAACTTTCATAAGTAAATTTCTAACATCTTCCATCGCCATGGTTTTTTGTTTTTCAAGCTTTTCATCAGCTTTAAAATTTTCATCCAACAATGGTCCAATAAATCCTTCAACAGTTTCTTCTTGGACCTGCACTTGGTCTTTAGTCTCAGCCTCTTTTGGTGGATCATTCTCACTGAAACTTTGACTTTTATTATTAGATTGAAAATCTTGCTCAGCATCAAATGTAATAACTTTTCCTAATTTACTTAATGACTCTCTTAGAGCTTGAGCTGCTACAATATCACTGATACTCGTACTATTATCATCTTCATATATCGTTACTTGATTATTATCCTCTTCAATATTTGCCGTCATTTCCGTTTCTCTATTTTCTACAATCGTTGATTCTTCAGTAACTTTAGAAGTAACAAATCTTGTATTTTTAATCTTTTCTAATTTTGTCTTTTCACTACTATCACTTGAACTTATAATATCATTTTCACTATCATTATTAATTGTTTTAGTTGAATTTTTCCTAATATTTGAATCACAATTATCCGTAGATTCTGTTGAAATTTTCCTCTTAGGTATTTGTGACACCGAGTCATTAGAATTTTTTTTCCTTTCACCAGAATCCACTCCAGAATCTTTAGAAGTCTTTCTACTCCTTTCTTCCGATTTTGTTCCACTTGGCGATTGATGTTTGTCCATACTGTCCATAGACCTGGGATGACTCGAAGAGCGCATCATCGATCGTTTTTTGACTTGGTTTGAATAATCAACATCCAAACTTTTTTGTGATAATTTTTTACTGGATGCCGGAATAGTTTTAGAATTTTCAGGAGCATCTTGTGTCTCGTGCAACGATTTTTTAAACCCATTATTATCATCGTTATACGCCGAGTCAGTTTCGACTAGTGGATTATTATCAACAGTCTTATTATTATCATTATCTTTTAATTTATTAGATTTACCCTTAACAGCTGGTAGAATAGACACTGAATCAATGCCTGATACTCTTGACATAATTTCTACCACCTCCTCAGCATCACTGCAAGCAGTGTCACCGCTGCTGTAATCTCTCGATATTAACTGCGAGTTTTGCAACGAACAAGACGCATCAGAAATGCTGTTAGAGTTAGTTTTTTTCTTTGGCGATGGTGAGCCACCAGATAAAACTCCATTACTCGTTATCGAGGCTGTTTCGACACTACTGTCACTCAAATTACGGTGCTGTTTTTTACTGTTTGTCAAGGAACGATTCGTTGAGGAGGATTTACTGCTAGCGTTTGAACCAACTTGATTAATAATTGATAATTTACGCTGACGGCGATTATGGTGACTATTGTGAGTCTTCTGCGCATTAACAATACCGCAGGTTCCTCCAGTCTCTTGTGAGGCTATATGACCCACTCCAAGACCAATTCCTCCTTGACTACTTCCGGCACCACTGGCCACCAGCTTTGGACATAAACCAGACAGGCCAACACTAGCTCCGCCTGACGCACGTTGCCTGCTTGCCTCATACCTGCAATAAAAAATAACAAAACATTACATACCAACACGGTGATAAATAAATTATATATTGATATTTTCTGGCTCATTAATGCAATGACATCTGCGGTTACTCACGTAGACTAACAAATTATATTTATTTTTTATTAAAAATTCAAACTTTAATAAATTAAAATCGACTATTTTTTATCAAATAGTATTTTATTGATTTAAATAATACTAACAACCTTGCAGTCACTAGGTGACTGCCGTGACTTGTGAACTATTAATAAATTAAATTTTGTTTTATTAAATAATTAAATAATAATTTTTGTTAAATTGCACTGTACTTTCTTAAATATTGACGTTTTTAAAGATATAAGCTCATCCCGATATTACACTCATCGAGAGTTTTCATTTGAGTACCCACATGCATTTTTGATATACTCATATATAATATATATAAAATATATGAAAAATTGATGTGGGTACTCAAATGAAAGGTCTCGATGATTGTAACATCGGGATGAGCTTATATCTTTAAAAATGTCATTAGTTCACAAGATACAAGGTCATTTCTTAATTATGTATCTAGATATAGAGTATTTTCAAATGCAGCCTAAATACTTGTTATAATAAATTGACTATCGGTGAGAATGATATAAAAAAACCGATTTTATCATGTGACTATCCTGGACACAAAATTTATCTTATTCTCTTAATAATATAAATTATTAAATATTTAATTTATAATTTTTTTCAAAATAGTTTTATCATCAACGAACCAAAAATAAATCCCTCGATTTAGAAACATTTTATTATTATTAATTATGTTAATAATTGTATTAAATATTGAAGCAAAAAAAGCATTATGAAAAGAATTGCGATGATTTTGCGAAAATAATTTATTAGAATAATAAAATTACCTATAGTATAGGTAATATAAATGTGAATGAAATATTTCATTACAAATGAAAATGTCTTGGCAGATCGTAAACACGAATATTTCAAGGTTTTTTTATTTTAGCTTTTGCAATATAATGGAATAGAGATAACGAATGCAAGAGAAAAAATAGATAGATATAATCGATGCAAATAAAAATAAAATAAAATAAGCGTGTATTAAAAATATGCAGTGATGTGTGAAAATATAAGAAGCATGAATTTTGATACAGACATCATTATACCTGTCCTGTCTGGAATGGCCAGATGGAAATAACCCTCGCACTACGTTGCCTATAGCTGCTCTCTTTTTCGAATCTTTTTCACGTCCTCTACACCCTCCTCCACCTGTGCCCGTCTGACAATGCTCTTGACGATGTCCTCGCTCAGTCTAAAAAAATTAGTATCAATTTAGAGATTATTTCAAATAAGGTTTGATGGGGGTTCCGTGAGTCTTGATACTCCGACAAAATATCCTAAAATAAAATAACCCTAGACAAAATATCTTAAATTAAATTTTTCAATAATAAAAATTCTAAACAAATTTACCAAATTTATTTTAACACTTATTAATATCATTATAAATAATATTCATATCACAACTTTATAAAAACTTTAAATATTAATTATCAGGTAATATTTGTCAATTATTACAAAAATTATCATGAATTAATTATCACAAATACAACACTTAAACTTGTTACCGTGTTGTGCCTTTTTATCATGAATTTTGTGTGTATTTATTCGACATTATTAATTAAAAAAAAAAATTAATATTTATTTATTTATATATATTATAAATTATAATTAATAATTGCAATATTTTATTTTGATCTCATTTAAAATTAAAAAATTTAGCATATAATTTTCATGTTGACTTATGACTTTAATTCACTTCTTTGTATAACATGATATATTCTCTGTTTTATTAAAATTTTAAATTTAATTTAATTGTAAGCCTTTAATTATTAAGTAATTTTGTACAGAGTTATATTATATAAAAATGCAAACCAATTTATCAAATCGACGGTCTAATTAGCAATTGGTCTTACTCCTTAATTTTTAGAAGGTAATTTTTTAACATTTTGATGTAGTAATAGGCTAATTATAAATTATTTGAATGATCCAAACCAAAATATTATATTTCTAAAAGATATTAAATTGTTATTTAAAGTGATAATAAATTTTGAACTAATTGTTTTTTCACACAAATGGAAGATTTTCTAAAATGGAGTTAGACAATTTGCTAATTAGACCGTCGAAATACTGATGGCTCTAAGAGAGCCTAGGTTTCAGAGTTAAATAAAATTTTTTTATCTATCTATCTATCTATCTATATTTAATATTTAAATATTTAGTCTCAGGGATATTTATTTTGGGGATATTTTGTCGGGATATCAAGAGTCCTGATGTCCTAACTAGGAAATAAATATCTAATTTAATAAGCAAGTTTTTATGTTAATTATTCAATTATTTTGTCTTTAAAATATCAAGAAAATTAAGATTTTTTGTTATTTTTTTTTAAATATCTTTAAATAATAATTTTGCAATATTATTAATAACACTGTTCATTTATTAATTTTTTAATTTTTCTAGGCATCGCCAAATAATTTTATTATTTTTATTTTTGTTTAATTTTCGAGCCAAAATTTCAGAATTTTAAAATTTATAATTTAAGAAATATATTAATTGTTGTATAATCCCGATTGGCGTTCAAATGAATAAATAAATAAATAAATAAATAAATAATTATCAACATTTTAGTTACCTTACTTGGTACTAAAACAAAATACTATTCCATGCATTTGATTATTTACAAGTACTGTTTAGTAGTAATATATTTAAAAAATAAAAAAAAAAAAAAAGTTACCTTTAGATTAAGAAGTTTGATATTTAAACGACTAGAAGAATTAGTCGGTACTGGACTCAAGTCACAACGCAATTTTCTGTGTGATTTTTCTACAATGGGATGATTACTGTCATCATCAAAATCAACTGTATTAGAATTACCAATAGGATATGCACGAGTAGATGTGAGTAAAATATTCTCAGTATTGGTCTCGACTTTATTATTCGTGCTCACAGGGCTCACTATTTTATTCTCATTGCAACATCTCGGCATTGCACGAAAATCAATCGTATACTTGAAATGGTTTTAGAGTTTGTCACAGCCTTCGGCAACACTGCTCTTAATAATTAGATAATAACATATATTATGATTAGTTGACTTGTTTGTAAGCTTAGAATATATTTTCATCTGTTGAAGATCTATCTCAAAAAGATCTACGTCAAAATTTAATCGTTTCAGAGCTTTAAGCTTAAATGTTAATATTTATAAAATCAAATGTATCTAACACTTGCAACATTCACCAATTACATTAAATACACTTAAATAATATCTTTTTTTCTCAACATTATTATTAGTAACTAAGCTTAAATATTCTTTTGTCTGTCACGAAGCTCTATTTCAAGTCTTGTGTTTCTGTTTAAATCAACCAAGTTATTTCATAACTATAAACTAGTATCATCATTGACTGGAATGACGTATTCTAAAAAATAAAAAAAAAAAACATTAATAATATTTTTATAAATAAAACTATTTATTATATTAACTAAGATGATAAAATATGTACAAACCTACGGTTGATTAAATAAATAAATCAAAACTGGCTATTGATAAAAATATCTTTCAAGAGTTAGAAAAAAAACTTGAATTCTTCAATAACAGCGTATCTCGAAAAGCTTCTACAATGCTATAATCCCTCATGATAATTCATCAATGAATAATCTGAAAAATATAATTTAATTAATTAATCATCTTATAGTAATACAACTATTATAATAATTAAATTTAATTTTTAAAGCATCAATAAACATTGAAAAATTAATTATTAAAATATTTTAGCGTTGCATAATATTAATAAATACTTAATAATATATTTTAAAATATTAGATGAAATATGTAATAAAAAATAATTAATATTACGAGTTACAAGAGATTAAATTTAGCTCACAATTTTTTAACAAAAAAATTAGTTCCAAAAAATTATATTAAAAAATTGCAATTTTCATTTATTAAAATTTAAAATTTCAATTTTTTTTTGCCATAATTTATTTAAAAAAAAATTTCTTAAAATTATCAAATATTTGTTAAATTAATCTTTATACAAGTATGACATTAAATTTAGCTGTCACTTGACAATTTTTTTAATTTTCTTTGACAAAAAAATTTATCACAAAAATTATTTTTAAAAAATTGCATTTTTAATTTATTAAAATTTTTTTTGCCATAATTTATTTATTAAAAAAATTATTAAATATCTGGTAAATAAATTTTTATACTACAGGTAGTCGATGGAATGAAAAAAAAATGTATGATGCAGTATGATACATGAGAAATGAATTTTTCGTTGTCTAATCGCGGTTTACTTTGAACAGATCATCAATACATTGCAGTGTCAAGAGCTTAACAAGTCAAGGCATAGAGGAAATCTGACTCTACGAATGGAAACAATCTAATGCAGTGTGCTGGCCATCACATATGTACATTGACAAGTAATACACGTGTATATGACATAAATTGCGCATAATTTTCATTATGCTCGTATCATTGATTATTATTGTTATTCTTACTATTATTCATTGTAGTTTATTAAATTTAAACTATTTGTGCTAAATAAATTCACAATAATATTTATTATTGATTATATTTTTTTATGATTATTGTATAAGTGATAAATTTGATATCCAGTCGTATAGTGTAATCAAGTTAACATGAAACGCTGATGCGATGATACCTTGACAAGCTTACAAAGCACGTGTAAGTTAAAAAGAAAAAAAAAAACGAGTATGCTGTACTGTGAATAAGATAAAAAAGAATAGAATCGCAATTCTCCAATACCTTATCAACTATTTGTTTATTTAATTTACCACATTACAAATTGTAATGAGAAGCTATAAATTAAATGTGTGTGGCATTTTTAAATTAATATATATGTAACATGTGTGGCAATAATTGAGTGATAACAATTGTCAAATTGATTGACAAAAAAAAATATATAATTAATAATATGCATAATCGTGACACACCAGATTTTATGACGTAAATTAGTAAAACTCAACAGATTATTTAAATAATATTCATTGAGTTCTACGAACAAATGATATGACCACGTACTTAAAACCTGTCAAGATATAATAAGTAAAAAACAGGCTTATTATAGAGTATACACGAAAACATTATATTAACACACAAGTAGAGTCTCTACTGGTAATTTCAACTTGACTAACTCTCTATCAAAGTTAACAGACAAGACAAGGAAGAGTAGAGAAAATGAAGAAGAAAAAAATATATAAAACGAATCAGGGAAACATTGACAGTGCGCAGCAGCAAGTGTCGAGACGACACAGGCGTCACGGTTCTGTCGTTGTGTTATGTCGTGGTGGATTGTATGATAGAGATACAGAACAGGGGCACGTGCGTGTGCAACCGAGGGCATATATTACGCACACCGCAAATCAAATAAGCTTTTTCAGTGTGTATAATACACAGTCACACTGATAGAGAATAATAATAAAGTTAGCCGACATTTTTAATTCTTTGATTTTGCCTAATTTATTAAATTAGAACTAAAAAATGTTTTTTTTAAATTGCACTTACAATTTTTTAAATTTTCTACATGTCAAATTTTTTTTTTTAAATTGTTTGTAATAACTTTGTTCAATAAAAAAAATTATTAAAATTTTTAGATGTCAGCTAACTTAATTTTCATTGATAGAGAAAGAAATGAAAATTAATTTAACAGATATTTAGAAATTTTAAAAAATAAAAAATGCAATTTTTTTAAAAATAATTTTTTGGAGAAAAATCTACGATATTTAAATTAGCAGTCACTAGATAATTTTTTTAATTTTATTTAATAACAAAATTTGTTTTTTTCCATAATTTATTTTTTTAAAAAATTCTTAAAATTATAAAGTATCTGTTAAATTAATTTTCATAAAAATTCTATGATATTTAAATTAGCAGTCACTAGATAATTTTTTAATTTTATTTAACAAAAAAATGTGTTTTAAAAAATAGCATTTCTTATTTTTTTTTAATTTCTAAATGTCAATATTTTTTTATCACAATTTATTTGTTAAAAAAATTCTAAAAATTATTAAATATCTGCAAAATTAATTCTCATAAAATAAAAAATCTATTAGTTAGAAAAAATTGAAAAATGGTTAAGTGACTGCTAACTTTAATGTCATAGAAAGAAAGATGATAAATTAATAGAGACAAAACTAACGAGTGACAAAGAAAGAGTCATTTTTGTAGTGTGACGATGTGACCAACTCCACGTATACACATTTAAAGAATCTAATGTATACGCGGCACACGCCAGCACGCACACTAAACACACACAAGTCTTCACACACATTAACACTTATACGTATATATGTATATAAGTAAACTTCATGAACTTTATACACACGTGAAATCGTATGGCCACGATAATGTGACATCTATCCCAAAAATATCGCGCTAGATTATTTCAATAAGCAGATACCAACAATATTATTACTATTATTATTATTATTATTATTGTTAGTTATTATTTATCACAAATGTTGAATGTTGATACTAGTCAGTAGGATTTAAATAATAATTAAACAATGGTTAACTTGTCATTTGGTATCTATACTCTGTTGAAGACACATTAATGACGTTGAATTAGTTTGACCTGCATTATTCGAAAATATAATAATTAAATGTTTACCAGAATTGATGATTCAGCTCGGAGTGAAAGTCCTGAAAAACTCCGAGGAACTCAACACGAAAGACACGATAAAACTATGGAGCACAGACTACATATACAATTGAGTGAGCCTCCAACGATCCTCCCGTGTATTCCCGGCGAGACGGCTCACAGTACACAATTACATACACGCGTAGAACACACACCGTCAACAGGGAACAAACCAACACAATACTCCCCTCTTAACTCGTTTTCCCGGCGCCACACGTTTTTACTCACATTTATACTGGCGAAAAATAGCCCCGACTACACCCAAATAATCACCATTTTTTATATACTTCTCATTCTCAGGCATACTCTAGCGCACTCTTGAGATGCTATGTGTAACGTACGGGAAAAATCTGTAAAGCGTTAAGGGGCCATTCACACTCAGTCAATTCGACCCTCAGCGTATCTGTATCTGTAAACAAACTCATATTAATATATTGTACACATATATTTACATTTTATACTCCCCACATGTTCATTTTGTAATACACATATGGCTTTACCTATACCACTGTCTCTCTTAACTTAAATTCAGCTCTACTTCACAGTTGTACAATTTACATGTATGTACTTTCGCCAATGAATAGAGCGGATAAATAAACTGATGAGATTGCCGAGCAACGAGGATAAAACATGTAACATACACACACTTAACAATCGTTGAAGGTTTGATATCTGTGTATTATATCCTGTGTGTATCTACGTTCGTGGCGCCATGGTAACAAGAGATCGAGATCTTGTGGATCTTGTTGGATCTTGTTGGATCTTGTGGATCTTGTGTCCGGTTTGGATTTTAAACCCGCTGTTGCCTGGAATAGAAATCCAGACAGAAAAATCCAACTACTCACTCGACTCACTTACTTACTTACTTTACTTATTGCTTTCGACAACCTCCTATATATATATATATATATACATATATTTTTATCTTTTTTTCTCATTACCTTCGTAATATCTAATTACTATACAGTTTTGATACTGTCTATTTATAAATTTATATACTTACATTTTTTTTATTTTTTATTTGTCCAGTAAATATTTTTTTTTTATTCAAGACTAAACTTTTTTTTATTATATGACATTTCCATGTATACGCACGATGATTCAAGTGTCAAAAAATTAATCATAGTATACTTTTAGTCCATTATGAAGATCGTTGGAAATCAATGTGATTTTTCTGAGAATTTTAATAATAATTTTATAAGCGTCATTATTTATACATGTTTATTTATATCAGTATTAAAATAATTTATGACGATTATGGTCAATCATTTTGGGTTTTTTTTATTATTTTAAAGTTATTGATATTTATACTTATATATTATATGGTAATTTTCAATTTTTAACTGAAAACCAGGCCCTAAATGCTGGAATTAATTTTATTTCTTTTTTTTCTTTAGAAATTTTCATTAAACGTAAAAACACAAAGCGGGAATTTTTAAATTCACTGTTTTATTGGGGGTCATCTGAGTGATCCGAACGGAAATGTAGCCAATGTAATTATTGTAAAGGAATTCAAAAAGTAACTTGCTCTCTAACAAGTTATATACATTTAATACTTCATACATAACACTTAATGTATGTCAAATAATAGTAAATTCTATATGATAAAATACACACATTAAAACATTTAAATATCATATTTATGAAAAAAATTAAACTGTAACCCATGAACTGTAACATTACAAAAGAACGACAATTGATCTGTCTTCTAAGTCTTTTAAGTCATAAGTAAGAAATTAGTTGTAAATTTTTTTAGGTATTAACTGGCGGTGGAGGAAATTTAAATTATATAATCTATAATTCAAACACAACCTTTTTATTCTAAATAAGAATAATTCTTCTTGAAAATATTTATTGTTTTTATTTATTAAAATATATAAATATTGATTACTAAAATAAAACAAAAAATTGCTTATTTAATGGGAAATTATTTATTTTTCTTTATAAAGTAATTTTTTTTTTTTTTAATTCTATAAAATATTAAAATCAAATTGTTCTTTAACTTGTTTCAGCTTAAACTATTATTTATTTTTACACCTTCTCAACATTTATCAATGATTACGTTCTTGTCATATGAATATTATGAAACAAACAATTATTTTTTATATATATGTAATTAGAATAACGTAAGAAGAAAAAATTATTTATTTAAATATAATTTGTTTAAACTTAGATTAAAGTTAAAAAAATATAGGAATATCATATATAATTAGTAAGTTCAAAAATATTAGAAAATTAAAAAAAAAAAGATGTTTTTGTTCTTTTAATATCGATAAATTTTGAGAAAGTTTATAAATAAATAATAGTTTAAGTTGAAAAAAATAAAAAACTGTTTGATTTTAATATTTTATATAATTAACAAAAAATTACTTTATAAAGAATAATAAATAATTTCCCATAAATAAGCGATTTTTTGTTTTATTTTAGTAATCAATATTTATATATTTTAATAAATAAAAACAATAAATATTTTCAAGAAGAATTATTCTTATTTAGAATAAAAAGGTTGTGTTTGAATTTATAAATTATATAATTTAAATTTCCTTCACCGCCAGTTACCTAAAAAAATTTACCTTACCGACAACTAATTTCTTACTTATGACTTAGAAGACTTAGAAGACAGATCAATTGTCGTTCTTTTGTAATGTTTCATGGGTTACAGTTTAATTTTTTTCATAAATATGATACTTAAATGTTTTAATGTGTGTATTTTATTATATAGAATTTACTATTATTTGACATATATTAAGTGTTATGTATGAAGTATTAAATGTATATAACTTGTTAGAGAGCAAGTTACTTTTTGAATTTCTTTACAATTATTACATTGGCTACATTTCCGTTCGGATCACTCAGATGACCCCTTTTATTGGAAATTACCTGAGAGCTCTTTTAAATTTGTAAACAGCCACTAGAGGCGCTGAGGTGAAAAGAAAACATGGTTTAAACTCGTGGTTCTTATTGTTATAACCTAAAATTCTTAAAGAGGAACGATAATTGACTTTAGCTGACAAAATATTAAATAATAATTAAAAATGGTACGAAAATTAAAATTTCACGAACAAAAATTGTTAAGAAAAGTTGATTTCATCTCTTGGAAAGCTGATAATAACTTACATGAAGTTAAAATTTTAAAACGATACCGCATACAAAAAAGAGAGGATTATACCACGTAAATAAACATTTTTCTACATGTTTTTTTTATAATATCAACAATATCTGACACCTGACAATTTTTTAATTTATTTAATAACAATTAATGTACAGTAAAAAAAAAAAAATGTGCTAATTAAAAAATCAAAGAATTGTCGAGTGTCATTTTTTTTATATATTTTTAAAAATATGCTTTATATATTAAAAAAAAATATTAATTAATCTTTTTTTTTTTTTGCAGATATAATAAACTGTCTCGAAAAATTCGTGACTTAGCTAGAAAAATAAAGGAAATGGATCCAAAGCATCCTTTTAGAATTGAACAGAGCGCATTACTGCTGGAGAAATTATATTTGATGGGTTTAATTCCTACCAAATGGGATTTATCACTTTGTGATAAAATAACCGCATCGTGTTTTTGCAGAAGAAGATTGCCTGTGGTAATGGTTAGAAATAAAATGAGCGAGAGTGTGAAGATGGCAACCCAGTTGATTGAACAGGGTCACGTTAGAGTTGGAACTGAAGTTGTAAAAGATCCTGCCTTCCTAGTAACTAGGTAATTTTTTTATTAAAGTATATTTATAATCAAAAACCTTTTATCAACTATTTTTAATTTCTGACATTAATTAAAATTTTTTTTAGAAATTTGGAAGATTTTGTCACATGGGTGGACACTTCAGCTATCAAGAAACATATTTTGGAGTACAATGATATTGTAAGTATTTAAAACAAATTTTAATTTAATGTAATTTTAAATCAATTAATCTCTTATATATTTATTTTTTTGTTACAGCGCGATGATTTTGATATGCAATAAAATAATTCAAGATTTTTATTATGTTTATATCAAATATTTGTAAATAAAGTTTTTTAAATCAAATTAAATCTGTTTCTTTACTCCGTTAATTTTATTATATTAATACTTAGTAAATAAATGAACTTAATTATTATTATTATTATTATTATTATTATTATTATTATAAGGTAAAAGACCCAGTTATTGACACTAGCCTAGATATTGACACTTGCAATTTTTTTTTTTAATTAAAAAAAAAACCAAATCAACTCCAGTAAATTAATAAATATAAATTTTAAGATAATTGATTTTTTGGGAACATTTTATCTTTTTAATTAGACTAAAATTGCAAATATCAAACAACTAGGCCAGTGTCAGTAACTGGGTCTTTTACTATAATACTAAAGTTAGCCAACGTTTTTAATTCTTTAATTTTTTTTTTAATAATTAAATTGAAACAAAAAAAACATTTTTAAAAAATTGCGCTTACAGTTTTTGAAGTTTTTAACAAGTGAAAATTTTTTTGTATTTTTATGTAATCATTTTTTCAATAAAAAAATTCTAAAAATTTTTAAATGTCAGCTAACTTAACTTTCATTCTTTTACTATACTATTAAATATTTTTTTTTTTTTAGTATTCTATTCAAGAGCACATTGCTGAAAAAATATTTGAATGTTATTGTTATTATTTCAAACAATTATTTCCGACCATGATTTTTTAATACCACAGTATAAATTGTTAAATATATTTTATTGATTAATATTTTGTTTAAATTGGGTAAAAATCATACAAAAGAAATTTATTTTTTAGCAAACGATATTTTCATAGCGTGTGACGGTGTAATTTTAAAACCTTGCAGCGCATCTTTAGCCGCTCCGGACTGAACTTCATTTTCAAATTCAACGAACGCAATATCATGTCTGTTGGGTACAAGTCGAACTTCTTTAAAGCCAGGAAATTGATTAAATAACATAGACAACATCATTTCTGATGTTTCATCCGGTAAATTAGTTAAGAAGAGAATTTGATTAGGTGGCTGCTCTGGTACCGCAGCGTTCATCATGCCCAGGTGGGTCGGTACACCAGAGTGATAGCCAACTTGCTGTTTGGATTGATCTTTAGCCTTCTTCTTAGCGCGTTTCGCTTCTTCTTCCGCTGGGACTGTTACGCGTTTAGGCTTCTTTGGTCTCTCTGAATAAGTTCCCTTCATTTTGGCAATTAAGTCACTCTCTGTTTTGGAGTATTGTATTTTCTGTAAAAAATTAAAAACTTAATTATTTATCTGATAATTTTTAGAGTTTTTTTTAATGAATAAATTATATGAAGAAAAATTTATTTAAAAACTCTAAAAAATTGAAAATTAAATATTTTTAAAATAATTTTCGAAGCTTAGTTTATTTTTAAAGAAAAATTAAAAAGTTATCAAGTGTTTGCTAATTTCAGTGTCATTATTTTTCACTATTTATTATGAAAATTAATTTAGCAGATATTTTATAACTCAAAAAAATTGACATTTAGAAAATTTTAAAAATCCTAAAAGCAATTTCTTAGAAATAATTTTTTGGAGCAAATTTATTTATTTAAAAATTTGAGAAAAAAAATGACATTTAGAAAATTAAAAAATGCAATTTTTTAAAAATAATTTTTCAGAGCAAATTTGTTGATTAAAAAAAAAATTTATTTAAATTCTTTCTTACCATAGGCTTATCATAAAATGGAAAACCTTGCATCGATCTCAAAGCATTTGTTGCACTCTGAATTTCTTTAAATATTACAAAAGCTTGACCCCGCATTTTTAAAGTTTTCAACGCAACAATATCTAATATATGCCCAAACTGTGAAAATATCGCGTATAAAGATTTTTTTAACTCTTCTTTCTTTATTTTTTCATTTAAATTGTTGATATAAATCGTATTATTCGGTCGAATATCCATTGTGTCTAAAATAAAAAAAAAATAAACACATTAATAAATAAAAAAATTTTTACAAATCAAACTAATTACTTTACCTGATTTTTTTCTGATTATTGATTTTTATTTAAACAAAATACTGTATTTACAAAATACGTTTTCCAACACCGGTTAGCGTCTAACTTTAAGGTTATATACGTCAGTCATAACCATTAGTTTATGTTCACTGTACTGTACATATATATTGTCAATACAATATACACATAAATTGAATAACAAAAATCTCCTCTAAAGTTTGATTTACAATAATTACATTTATGACTAATATTCAATGAAAATTCCAGCTATGTCTTCGTATGAATTTATTCGATAATAAAATAATAATACTTGAGAGAAAAAAAATTATTTAGTTACTTATCTAAAAAAAATAATAATAATAATAAATAATTTCCACTACCAAAATCAAATAATTAAAAATTAATAGCTGAAAAAAAAATGTCTATTGATTTTTTTAAGAAACAAAACAATAATAAAAAATATTTTCTTATTGTTAAAATATTTTTTTAAATTAAACGTAATTTAATTTAAGTTATAATAATAATAATAAAATAATAAATTTAATAATTTTGCAAATAGAATTAAATTGATGAGATATTTATTCAATTACCCGCCTTAGCTTCAAAATGGCTACAATAAAATTTCCTGTTTAATTATTGGCAATAAAATTAAAATAAAAATATTTAATTAATTTAAATCTATTATTAAAAATATAAATAAAAAAAGAAAAAAATTACTAAATATTAAAAGAAATAAATAATAGTAATTATTATTATTTTTTTTTTAATATTAAAATTTTATAACCAATAAGAGATATGAAGCAAGGTGAAGCTTCCTGCTTCGATCGATCGGAGCCGTAGAAAATAACGAGATTTTTTGGCGGGAACCCCTGGCACTATGCATTAAAAATAATATTAATAATAATAATAATAATATTAATAAGTTATTTTATAATAAATAAATTTGAGGATTAAAAAGAAATAAAAAAAAATTAATTTTAAAAATAAACTTACTTGAAAACAAATATTCTAGTTAAAAGAAATAAAATAAAAAAAAAATTTAATGAGCTGGATAATAAAACAAAAATGTCACAGGAGAAAGAGAGAAGGAATAAAAATGAGCGAAACAGTAGGGGAAATACTTATGGATTGAAAGAGCGAGGAAGTGAAAGAGAAAATAAGAGGAAAAGAGAAGGATAATAATTGCAAGAGTGGGAATAGGGCAAGTGGTGGTAGCTTGAGCAAGCAGAATGTAACATACGGATCCATATACATAGAAACGGAGTCCGTGGCCAGTAGTCGCTGTAGTGCAACTCGAAACACTTCTCAGTGTGCTTAACGCCGACGCCACGACGCGCGCACCGGCAGCCGCCTTTGTCTTTATTACATACCACACGAAGTTCCGGAGGTAAGTACATTGAGTTGCCATAGCGTCTCTATTTTTCTTTCTCACCTAATATTTATTTTATCAGCTTTTTTCTTGATATCAATTGCCTAAAAAATTTTAAATAATTCAATTAATTAATTAAATATTTTTCTCAATTATTTGCTTTACTTTAAATCGTTTACTTTCATAGATATTAATTTTTGCGGACGTACTGACGGATCGGTGTTGTGCGACGCATTCGACGCCGCGTCTCGACCACTCGATTCGATTAATGGCGTCTTGCCGGGCTTAAATATTGTTTAATTATTTTTTCACTTGCAGTTATTTAATTGGGTTTTTTTTAAATAAATTTCTAATTTTTTTGTGATTTATTTTTCGTGAGATTTTTGAGGAAAAAATGACGCGCGAACTTGGTAGCGTCGCTTTTTACGCAAAGCGCCGTCGCTACCCACGCGTTGCTTTTCTCTGATATTCCTTCATGTATATTCAATATGTAATATCTTCATAAATAAACTAGTACCACTTGAAATAAATATCTTGAAAAATTCATCGTAAAATCTAATATTTTTCGGTGATTTTTTACATCCCCCTTTCATAATTTTTTTTATATTTTATTATTTTATTAGTATTTTATAATATTGTGATAGCAAAATGGCGGGAATCACTGACGTTTTGAGGGCCCATCTAAAGTGATGTCGTAATGGATGAAAATATACAATTTCTTAAACGTTTATAATTGAAATAATTATTTCAAACTTCATTAAATTTTTTAAAAATATTAAATATTTTTTAAATTAGTTTTTTTGATATTTTACTTATTAAATGGCGTTGTGAATAATTTGTACTGCTTATCCTTGCAGCTTTGGTATGTTGAATAAGCGCCCTCCGTATTGGCGGATTAATAAAGTTTTAGAGGCTTTGAAAAATCAACCAACGCCTTGTTAAAAATCGATACTTTTAGTTTTAGATTCTATGAATATAACGAACTAGTCCTAGAATTTTTTTTTTTTTAGTTTTTTTAGTTCATTTTTTTTTTAATGAATTTTTGTATCTTGTTTCGTTAAATACGCGGGGACGCTGCCGCTCTACTATAATATTTCTTGATAGCGTTAAAAGTGGGGATATAAAGATGGCGATTCTCCCGCCTTCAATATATTTTTTTTTATTTTTTTTTTCTATTTTTTTTTTTTTTTTTTACATAAATTAATCAGTAATTTCAGAAACGATTAATTTTTTTTTAAGATAATTTTTTTTACTTGATAATTTACTGAAATTTATGAGCATTTTAATTATTGAACTTGAATATTGAGTAAATACAGAATTATTAATTATAATCACTAGTGCTATATTTATTAATTTTTTTCTACTTACTATTTTTTCATGACATTACAGTTAGCAATCACTTGATTATTTAAAAAATTTTTTTTAACCAATGAATTATTTTTAAAAAATTGCATTTTTTATTTTCTACATGTCAATTTTTTTTTATAATTTTTTTTGCCATAATTTATTTATTACAAAAATTTTTTAAATCATTAAATATCTGCTAAATTGATTTTCATTATTTTTTTTTTATATGAAAATTAATTTAGCAAATTAATTTAAAAAATTTTATAGTAAAAAAATTATGACAAAAAAATTGACATTTAGAAATTTAAAAAAATAAATTAATGCAATTTTTTTTAAATAATTCTTTTGAACAAATTTTTTTGATAAATAAAATTAGAAAGTTGTTAAGTGATTGCTAACTTAATGTCATTTTTTTATGAAAATTAATTTAACATATATTTAATAATTTTTAAATTTTTATAGCAAAAAAAATTGAGAAATTAAAAGAAATAATGAGTACAAATTTTTAAACATAATTTTTTAGAACAAATTTTTTTGATAAATAAAATTAAAAAATTATTAATCGACTGCTAACTTTAATGTAATTTCTTTTTTTCCCCCTAGTAAATTATAATTTTTTGGATTAATAATTTATTTTCCTATTTTTTATTTTACAGAATAATAATTTAGTCATGTCAGACGACAATTCACCAGTTGTTGAGGAGCAGAAGAAAAAGCGCGGCCGTCCCCCAAAGAATGCCGACTCTAAAAATGCCGTAAAGGAGCCCAAAAAGCGAGGACGCAGTGCTGCAACGGAAAAAATTAACGCATCTCGTCCACCAAAATCCGATAATGAAGATGATGCCCCACCTGGACCAGTCAAAAGAGGTAGAGGTAGACCCAAAGGATCTCATAAAAAAAAGGTATTGATTTGTTAAACATAAAAAATATTTATTTAATATTTATGTTTATTAATTTATTTCTTTATTTTTTTTTTTTTTTTTTTTTTAATTAGAATCCAGCAAAGACCACCGCTCCATCACCTGGCCGTGGCCGTGGCAAACCCAAGAAAATAGAAGAAAAACCAGAGAGTACCGGTGAAGAAGAAGAAATGGAAGAAGAAGACGATGAAGAGGAAAACTGAATATAAAATAAAAATGTCTTTGAGACATCGGGGCTTCAATTTCGGAGTTTCCATAAAATTTACTGTCGATTCTTCTTAATTCCTTCTTCATCGCTGATTTATTTTATTTTTTTTTAATAAATTAATAAAGAAATGTGTGATTAGAATGCATTATCTCAACGATAATTTAAATAAAGATCCTTAATTTCGTTGAGCTAAATCAATACTGCTCATTTGATATAGATTAAATAATAAGGAAAAAATAATTAAACATTACCGTATCGCGTAATGTATTTTCTTCATTAATTTTTTCGAATATTTTTTATCATAATTGAATTTAATCGATATTATCTAATAATCAAACCGGCAAAAAAATAATATAAGACGAAAATGTGACAAAGGTTTTTTTAAATAATCCAATTTTAATTGGACATTTGCGATACAGTTAACTAAAAGGGTATTAACGTTGTTCTAGAGGCAACTTTCATGTTTATTCTTATGTTTTTTATTTTTATGACATAATTATTTTCTTACATTTTATGAAATTTATTAATAACAATATTATGATGATTGTCTTATCCAATACACTCCATTAGTATTCTCAAAAATGAAATAAAAGTAATAAAAAAAATAAAAAATTTTAAAATTAAAAAAAAAATAAATAAAATTAATTTGACAGGTATTCTACAAACAATGAAAATTATAGAAAAAGTAAATGAAAATTAACATATTGCTAGCAAGATGTTTACCTTGCTAGAAATCCTAAATAAAAAAGGATGGTAATAAATTAAAAATAAATATTATGGATGAATTGATTAAAGAATAGACTAATCTCTTGTATATCACGAGTGCGTGAAGTTTCTTTCAATTTTATTACATTGAAAAAAAAAAAATAAGAAACGTGAGTAAATGAATACTGAAGTCCCGCTTCTGAGACGAACAAGTTGTGTGAATGTAAAATTTGTATTAAAGTAAATAAATTCACAAAATACTCTTATTTATTATCAAATCACCTATTAAAATTTATATTTTAAGATAACAATTTTTTTACCTTCTCGGCTGCTTTTTTTTCCTATTTAATAAATAAATAATTACAAATTTTTTATTTCACAACCTACATTTTGATAATTATTAATTAATAATTAATATTACTAATAATTAAACTTAATATTAATTAAAATTGAAATCTAGTTCGCTTTAAAAATTAAAAATAAATAATTTAAAAATTAGTTACAATAAATTTTAAATAATATTTGTATTAATTTTCAAAGATAATTTTTTCAATAAAATTTTGAACTATAAGCTGTATAATTAAGTGCAAATCGAGGGATTTGATCAAGTACAGATAAATTTAATCATTCCACTTACGACAATTACTGAAATCTCATTGAAAAAAATGTTTATTAAAAAATAATTCTAATTAATAAAGTAGATATGTTCTACAGTAGTGATATAAATTTAAATTACATATTTATACACATTGATCCTTAATTTATTTTAAAGCAAATTTATCTATGAAAAAATTTATCACCAGTTGACTAGGTTTTGGCACTTACCACGTATTGAATTTTTATATCTTAAAATTGCTTGTAATTCAAAATCTTTTACAATAATACTGCTACTATTATTAATTTGAAATATTAAGTAAAGCTTAATATTTTTAGTTGCACGGTAACAGTAAGTATGAATTAAAATTTCATTTATGTATTGCATTTAATTACGATCGTTGTTTGACTACCATACCCGTGTGTAAAATATTGCCGCAAGTTTGCAAATGTATAATTATTTTTCTACATTACAGTTTTGTTTTTTAGCAACTATTATAATTATTATATCGACTGTATAAATTATCTTACAATAAATAAATTCTAATTGACTTTGTAAAGTTAGACTGCTAAATAATTTTTTACTGTTCTATTTTTTACTTGTATCGAAATTAATTTAAATAACTCATTATCTACTTTCAATAGATCATTAGTTAAACAATATAAACTGTGCATTTTTTTTACTGTAGTATCATCACAAAATTCGACTTTTTTCAAAAGTTATCAGTTATTATATTATAAGTAATTGTTGATTAAGTTACTAATAAATTCTTAACACTACAATTTTTTTTTCGAGGCGAAAGATTTTTTTTTGTAACAGAATCTTACTGTACGTTTTAAAAAAAATTATTTTTAATCATTAATCATCAATTCCAAATTAAGTATACAAAAATTTTCATATTACACATTTAATTATTTTAGTTTACATTATTTTAGAAAAATTTGACCTAAAAATTCATTTTTTTTATTAAAGTTTACTTATTTTTAATTTCAACAAGTCAAAAATTTTTTTTTAAATTAATTTTCTTTTAAAAAAAATTTTAAACTCGACCAAACTTTTTATCCTGACAGAACTCTAGTTAAATTACTCATAAATAAAATCAATAAACTATTTTTATTTCAAGAAAAATTTATTAAAATATGTCTTGAAATTTTTTTTTTAATGCTAAAAAAAAAAAAAATAAAGTAATTAAATTTTTAGTTATATTGAAAAAGAAATAAAATTTTAATAATTTAGAAGATATTTAGCAATTATACTGCTTTCCTAAATTCGAGTAAATTGTTTCAGTCTGTAGTGTAAGAATACACAAATGCCTATTTATCGATTAATAAAAATAAATACTTGATATTTATGCTCGCTAAATTTTAGAAGTACGCGAGCACTGTCAGCATAAATCTTCATCTGTTGATATTATGTCAACAGCAGTTGTTCCATGATGCTTAGTAACCTTAGTATTTGGCAAAAAATACGGTGGTATTTCCATTGGATTATCATCTGCCAACGGTTGCATACCACTCGGTGGAACTTTACGTCAGTGACCAAAAAGTTCTGTATTTTCTTCGTTGTCAATTGACTGATATCCCTGCTGTAAAATTTTAATTTATATTAATTAATAAAAAATTGTAACTAGTATAATAAATAAAATTAGCAACTATAAACAAATAAAATTTTGCTTTATTAAATAATGACTTTTGTGAAAATGCACTGTACTTTCTTAACTATTGACGTCTTTAAAGATATAAGCTCATCCCGATGTTACACTTATCAAGAGCTTTCATTTGAGTACCCACATGCATTTTTACATATTTTTCATATATACATATATATAATATATATAAATATATGAAAAATTGATGTGAGTACTCAAATGAAAAGTCTTGATGAGTGTAACATCGGGGTGAGCTTATATCTTTAAAAATGTTTATAATTCACAAGATATTTATTAAATTGCATTGTTCTTTCTTAAATATTGACGTTTTTAAAGATATAAGCTCATCCTGATGTTACACTCTTCAAGAGCTTTCATTTGAGTACCCACATGCATTTTGATATATTTTTCATATATTCATACATATATATATATATATATAATATACATAAATATATGAAAAATTAATGTGGGTACTCAAATGAAAGGACTTGATGAGTGTAACATAGGGATGACCTTATATCTTTAAAAATGTCAATAGTTCACGAGATACAAGGTAATTTCTTAATTATCTCTCTAGAGATACATAATGGAGCCAAAATACTTATCATCATAAATTGATTATTGGTAAAAATGATATAAAACCATGAAAAGACACATACTATTTTAACGATACCAAATTTAACGATAAAAACCCATTTTATATGATATAAATACACTGGCCATAAAATTTTCCTTATTCTCTTAATAATATAGATAAATCATATAAAAAAAATAATAAATCCTTACTCTTCTCTGTCGACCACCAAACCCTTCGTCAAGCAATTCCGTTTCCCAATCATCTTCTCCTTCTTCACCTGGATCAAAATTATAAAGAGGCATTAATTTATGCCGCAATCGTTCCAATTTACGTCGTCGTGATATAATTAAAACCTAACAAAAAAAAAAAAAAAATAAAACTACCATTAATATCATACCTCCATGCACAATCATATCATTACAGTTTTTTAATAAATAATTATTATTTTTGACAATGATTATTAGTACCACAGCTGACAGTATTATAACGAAAATAATAACTCCAAGAGGTACAAATATATATTCCACTCCATCAGGTGGACCAAAATCATCAAAAGGTTCCTCAGTAGTTGTTGAAGTTGGCGGATTACAAATTTTTGACGTCTTATTTAATTTTTGTTGATCATTAGTTTCAGGTGATTGAAAAGCTACCACAGATGATGACAGTGTATCATTATTAATAAAAAAATCCGTGTAATTTTCTGAACTTCCATTGTACATAATTCTATTGATATCAATCGTTGTTTCTTCCAGATTATTTAATAAGAATGTTGTTAGCAAAGAATTGTTAGTATCCATGACCTTGTTAATTTACTTCACACCATTCATTTTTATTGATTCTATTAGTTGTTATTGTTATGTCAACAATGAAGCATTTAAAAACAATGACACTTTAACTTACTTGTAAATTTTTGACGATATTATTGTATTATATTTATATAAATATTAATTCTGAACTAATTCAAATTGTATACATTGCATTGTATACCTTTTGTCTGCACAACTATACACTCTCAGATGTATTGTTTTGATACATGCTGTTTTTTGACAATTACTAAGATTAATCAATTCGAAATGTACATTGTAATTAAAAAATTAATTTAACAATTGTTGTGTAAAAATTTTATGCGCTAAGACCTTGAAATATAAGACACAGATAAGCAAGTTATGATAAGTCCGCCTTTTTTTTTTTCGGAGTGGCTATTGACACCATCTCGCATGCTCTTAAAGTCACGGGACATTACTAGAAAATCACACAAATTTACTATATATCAGCCGTGAATTTAAGAATTGACAGGTGAAACACGGAATTTTATCCATTTTATCATGACACTGAAATTAACAAACATTGGACATTTTTTTACAACTTTATAGTAATAAAATTATTATGAAAAAAAATGGAACTGAAGTTAGCGGACATTTAAAAATTTTTAGAAATTTTTTATTGAAAAAATTTCAATTAAACAATTAAAAAAAAAAATTATGATACTAAAGTTAGCCGACGTTTTCAATTTTTTGATTTTTTTTTTTAATAATTCAATTATAACAAAAAATATTTTTTAAAAATTGCACTTACAGTTTTCAACAAATGACAATTTTATGAAAATAAAGTTTGCCGACATTTGAAAATTTTTATCAATTTTTTGTGTTGAAAAAATTTCAATTAAACAATTAAAAAAAAAAATTATGATACTAAAGTTAGCCGACGTTTTCAATTTTTTGATTTTTTTTTTTTAATAATTCAATTATAACAAAAAAATATTTTTTAAAAATTGCACTTACAGTTTTCAACAAATGACAATTTTTATGAAAATAAAGTTTGCCGACATTTGAAAATTTTTATCAATTTTTTGTGTTGAAAAAATTTCAATTAAACAATTAAAAAAAAAAATTATGATACTAAAGTTAGCCGACGTTTTCAATTTTTTGATTTTTTTTTTTTAATAATTCAATTATAACAAAAAAATATTTTTTAAAAATTGCACTTACAGTTTTCAACAAATGACAATTTTTATGAAAATAAAGTTTGCCGACATTTGAAAATTTTTATCAATTTTTTGTGTTGAAAAAATTTCAATTAAACAATTAAAAAAAAAAATTATGATACTAAAGTTAGCCGACGTTTTCAATTTTTTGATTAAATTACAACTAAAAAGATATTTTTAAAAAATTGCACTTATAGCTTTTCAAGTTTTTTACATGTGACAATTTTTTTTTTAATTTTTTAATTGAAATTTTTTTTTTCAATAAAAAATATCTCAAAATTTTCAAATGTCGACTAACTTTATTTTCATTTTTTTTTATTAAAATTTATTTGTTATAAAATTAATAAAAAATTGACAGCTCTCAGCTGACTTCACTATCATAATTTTATTTCCTGCTAAAAACTTTAGAGATTTAAAAATTTATAATTGCATCTTAATTTCACAAATAAATTTATATCACTAAAAATAAACTCCAGATAATTTTTATCTTGTCACTGCACATAAATAAATATACAATTAAATAATAATAATTAAAAATATCCAAAACTAGCAACACTTTGCGGGAATATTTAAAAAAAACTCTATTAGTAAAATTATCTAGCGCGCCACTCGGAAAAAATTTAAACTATTTTCTAATACTCTAGAAACATAACCAATATATTTCAAAAACACACTACAGTATTTTCCCGCGATTATGTTTACTTAGATACAGTTGGTTGACGTAAACAACAACAAGGATCATAAATAAAGTTGTTATGTTAAATTCAAGATTTAATTTTCTACGATGAACTTAATACGATAAATATATCCGAATTGTTTAGCATTAAATCAAAACAAATATAAATATAAGTGACAATGGTTAGTTAAAAATTAAATTAATGTTTGTGTCAATGGAAAACTGTCTAATAAATTTTATAAACTTTTCAGAAGCGATCATCAGCACCTAGTCAATCTGGGAAACGACCTTTATTTCCAGATATCGAGAATCATTCGCCGATAACTAATGTCAATAATTCTAATAAGCCGAAAGAAGATTCTTCTGTAGCTCTTCACCGAGAGAAAAGATTAAAAACATTGAAATTTAAACCTATTCTTATTCCTGAGCGTAAAGCTTTACAGCTGAATTCAAACGATGTTACAACTACCAAAGAAGTTATATCAGACCATGTAAGTTCATAAAAATTAGCTGTATATAGTATTTATGACAAAAAAATATCAAAATTAAATTAGCAGACATATGACAATTATTTAGAATTTTTTTTTATTAAAAATTTACAAGTAGAATTTTTTTAAGTCTTTTTTGATTAATAAAAAAATATCAAAAAAATTTTTTAATCATCTGCTGATTTCAGGATCAACAAAAACCTGAAAATGTAGCATATATTTAATAATTTTAAGAATTTTATGGCAAATAAAATTAGTCAAAAAAATTGTGTAGAAATTAAAAAAAATGCAATTTTTTTTTTTATAATTTTTTTGTTAAATAAAATTAAAAAATTGTCATGACAGCTAACTTTAATATCATAAAAAAAAATATTTAATTTTTTTTTATTTTTCATATTTTAGGAAGAGAAAATTCGTAAAATGCTTAGTAAACCATTTAAAATTCCTATCCCTGGTTACGAGTTATCAGGTCGATTTTTAGGAGCTAAGTTCTCAGGTCCTCGTAGAGCATTGCACGACCCTAATGCAGCAAACGCTTTGGTAGTCTATGCTCCTCCTGAATTATCTGAGCACGAGCGACTTAAAATTGATGAGTAAGTAGATAAATATTTATTTTATAACAATACTAAAGTTAGCCAACGTTCTTAATTTTCAGATTTTTATTTATTAAATTACAATTAAAAAATATTTCTTTTGAATTGCACTTACAATTTTTCAAATTTTTTACAAATGAATTTTTTTGTAATAATTTTTTTAATAAAAAAAATTCTAATAATTTTTAAATGTCGGCTAACTTAATATTCAATAATACTAAAGTTAGCCAACGTTTTTAATTTTTTGATTTTTTTTTTAATAATTAAATTAGAACAAAAAAATATTTTTTAAAAATTGCACTGACAGTTTTTAAAGTTTTTTACAAATGAAAATTTTTTATTTTTTTGTAACCATTTTTTCAATAAAAAAAAATTCTAAAAATTTTTAGATGTCGGCTAACTTAATTTTTATTATTTTATAGATGATTATATATTATACATTAGTAAGAATAATTATATTTATTGCAGGAGTAAACAATTGGTACACGTGGTGGTAGATCCTCTGCTTTGTAACGTTTTAAGACCTCATCAGAGAGAAGGAGTTAAATTTATGTACGAGTGTGTAACAGGAGTGCGAATTGAAGATGCCTTTGGATGCATAATGGCCGATGAAATGGGTCTAGGAAAAACTCTCCAGTGTATAACTCTCCTGTGGACTTTATTGAAACAAGGTCCCGAAGCTAAACCACTGATTGAAAAAGCAATAATTGTAGCACCCAGTTCGCTAGTTAAGAATTGGTACAATGAAATTTTCAAATGGTTGGGAAACCGAGTTCGACCTCTGGCTATCGATGGTGGAAGCAAAAATGACATTGATTCTAAACTTGTAGGATTTATGAAAACTTATGGCAGACGCTGTGTAAATCCTATCTTAATAATCAGCTACGAAACATTCCGCCTTCATTCACACGTTCTCCATAACGATGAAGTCGGACTTGTTCTCTGCGATGAAGGACATCGATTAAAAAATTCCGAAAATCTAACGTATCAATCTTTGATGGGTCTGAAAGCTAAGCGACGTGTTTTACTCAGTGGAACTCCAATCCAAAATGATTTACTGGAGTACTTTTCACTGGTACACTTTGTAAATCAAGGCTTGCTTGGCACAGCTCAAGAATTTAGAAAGAAATTTGAAAACCCTATTTTACGTGGTCAAGATGCCGCTGCTACCGACTCAGAAAGAGCTGTTGCTCAAGAAAGACTTAATGAATTAGTTACTATTGTTAACAAATGTTTGATTAGAAGAACAAGTGCCTTGTTATCTAAATATCTACCTATTAAATATGAACTTGTTGTTTGTATTAAGATGACTGAGTTACAGACACAGCTTTATAAAAACTTTATCAACAGTGATTCTATTAAAAGATCAATGCAAAGTAAACTTATTTATTAATTATTAATTATTGTTATTTGTAAAAAATGTAATATTGCTTTTTTAATTAATAATATTTTTTTTTTAATTTAGATCATGAAAGTGAAAAAAAGAAAGGTGGTGGGACACTTTCAGCTCTCTCAGCAATTACTTTACTGAAGAAATTGTGCAATCATCCTGATCTTGTCTACGAAAAAATAATGGAAAATTCTGAAGGGTTTGAAGGAGCATCAAAGTTACTTCCTTCTAACTACAGTACTAAGTAAGTCGTTGAATTAATTATTTAAAAAAAAATATGGTAATTATTTACAAGGGAGTCAACCCCATTTTGGGCCATAACTAGATTTAGATTTTTGATTTTGTTTATTTTATGCCAAGGCACAGACCAAATGGCAATTTCAATTATAGATTGATTACATACGATTAAGTATATAAGTTTATAAACTTTATAAACGTGAGTACATAATATGGTCATAGAAGTAGATTATTGCTTTCAATAATACAGTAAAAATTTTAAATGCAATAAAGTAATAAAAGATAACGTAAAAAACTAAAAAATATCAACGAAGGAATACAGTGTGAAAGAGCTAACTTGATTAGATTTGATTTATTCGTTCTGATTCAATTAATAATGTTAAGACAGTAATAATTGGGTGAAAAATTAACATTTAAAAATTTTTTTTTATTCTGCTTGTTTTTACGGCGCATTTATGATAAAAATTGTCGTGAAAGGAAAAAATAAAAATTTCGATAGCTTTTGAGCCTTAATAAAAATTCGAAAAAATATTGGCTTTCATGTTTTTGGATAGAATTTCTATTTTATCTTTTTTTGATATACTTTTTTTTTTTGAAAAATACATAAAAAAAACGAATTAAAAAAAAATTGATCAGAAAAAAAATTTTCTATTACCCAGAATAATTAATTACCAAAAATGATGAAACTCATATTATTATTCATATATTTTCAGGGATGTAATGCCAGAATTATCAGGAAAATTGATGGTCCTCGATTGTCTGTTAGCTTCAATAAAATCTACGACATCTGATAAAATAGTATTGGTATCAAATTACACTCAAACTCTTGATCTCTTTGAAAAACTTTCAAAGAAAAGACAATACCGATATGTACGTCTTGACGGTACGATGACGATTAAAAAACGATCAAAGGTAGTTGATAGTTTTAATAATCCCGAAAGCGGAGATTTCATTTTCATGTTAAGTTCCAAAGCTGGAGGTTGCGGGTTGAATTTAATTGGAGCTAATCGATTGGTTATGTTTGATCCTGATTGGAATCCTGCTAATGATGATCAAGCTATGGCACGAGTTTGGCGTGATGGCCAGAAAAAACCTTGCTTTGTCTACCGGTTTCTGAGTGTAAGCATTTATTTAATTTTATTATTTCATATTCATTTATTTATTTATTTATCTATTTAATTTAATTTAATTTTTTTAGACTGGAACAATTGAAGAAAAAATTTTCCAAAGGCAAGCTCATAAAAAAGCACTGAGTTCAACAGTTGTTGACCAAGAAGATGATGTTTGTCGCCACTTTACCCTCAATGATCTCCGAGACCTTTTCAAGCTTGAAGAAAATACTGTTTCCGATACACATTCTAAATTCAAGTGCAAACGATGTGTGGCTGGTGTTGAAGTAAAAGGACCACCAGAGCAATCTGATTGTAATTCGGACTTAGCTGACTGGCGTCATGCTCACAATTCCCGAAATCTTCCGGATATACCGCTAAAACATTGCTGGTCTAGTGGAGTTTCATTTGCCTTTCATCATCGCTCGACTGAACAAGTTAAAGAGAAAAAAGAAATTGAAGAAAAGCCTGAAGAAGTTGAAATGGATACTGAAGTAGATTCAGAATAATTTATATAAATATATTTGTTTATTATAATTGACTGAGAAAGCTGGTTGTCTTTCTGTTATAAGTTTTCAATTTTATAATTTAAAAAAAAAAAATTAAAATAACAATTAATTTTCTATGAAACTTTTTCTTCCATATTTTTTACAATATAAATAATAATTCTCTTCATAACTGGCTAAATTAAAAATAAATATGAAGAGTTTCGCTAATAGATTTTTATTAATTTTATGAATCAATGTCTTCTAACGGATCTATAGTCCAACTTTTCATGCATTAATTAAATAATCGTTAACATGCGATAGCTCATAAATGTTTAAGTAAAAGTTAAAAGACAAAGATCGATATTTATTGCCTGAAAAAAAAAAATAATTAGATAAATTCATTTTAATAAATTAATAATTTTTAAATTCTCTATAATATTTTAATTTTTTGATAAGATATTTTTTTATTTTATTTTTAACTAGATAATATTTTTTTTTTGTGTAAATAATTTATCTAAAATTTACGACTTTAAAATTAGCAATCAAAATTTTTTAATTTTATTTAACAAAAAAATTATTTTAAAAAAATTGCATTTTTTATTTTTTAAAATTTCTACGTCAATTTTTTTTTGTCATAATTTATTTGTTATAAAATTAAATAAATTTTAATCTAAAATTAAGTTATATAAAAGAGACATATAAGCAACAGAATAGATAATTAATACAATTATTTGAAAGCCTTGTAAATTCCAATAGATAATGTTTTCATAATGTTTAGTAGCTAGTATAATTTTTACACACATAGTTTCCCTCCCCCCATTTAGATTGTAGTGTCCGTATGTACAAAATACAAGTAAAAGGCAAAAAAAAAAACAGAAAATAAAAAAGAAGAGAAACAATGATTAAAGCGAGAAAAAGAATAAAAGTCGGGGAGAGTTGGTCACGTGACACGAAATACTAGCAGATGATTGGCCGAAAAGTCGGTTACCATCTCTCCCCAGATGTAGAAAGACGCTTGCTCACCTTCTAAACGAGTGTTGGCCTCAGAATAGTTCCAGATGTGGCCATGTTTAGTTAATATTTGAAGTTTCTCTTATTAATCAAATCGATAATACAAAAATTCAACCGACTTGCTGCGACCGCCATTGAAACTGTAAAAATAACATAACTCCATCGTATCAACAGAGAAAATAACAAATAATCCGTCGATCATACCTTTATCGCTTGCCCACTAAAAAAAGAAATACATACAGATAACCTTTATGATTTTTAAATTACGCGTTTGTTTAATTATCTCGTTGTTCAATTAACATTCACACTCGGAAAACGCTGCCTTTAAGTTAAATTAATTGCAAAGCAAAAATAATTATTAAATAATATTTAGGTAGCAAGTTCAAGCAAGGGTAAGGGATACAACGTGAACAGGCTTTTTTTTTTTTTATTATTTCTTCGTGTTAATTAAATTATTTTCGGAAAATCGTGTCATAATTTCGAAGTAAGTAATCTGAAAAGTAAAAAAAAAAAATTTAAAATAATTGTTAAACAAAAATCTAGATATTAAAAATAAATCTGGGGTTAATTACGCGCGGGCGCGATGACATGACACAATATATATACATACATACAGTATTTGGAGGACAAACATAACTTCACAGTAGCGACGTACATACATGTATACAATTGATAAATCACGTGATAAGAGAAGGAGACGTATTTAAGTATAGAATAACGTAGCGCGCATACACGGGAAGTAACCAAGCCTTAACATTAACAACGTTCGACGAAATTGTGGTCGGCCATGCCACGTCAGCCATTATGACGTAGCTGCCACCCGTTATTCAGGATAAAGAAGACTTAAAATATTTTTATTTTAAAATCGATATTTTGATAGACAGTGTTATCAAAAAATTAATTAATTAATTTTTATTAAGTAAATAAATGTAGTAAAGTGAGGAATTGAAGCGATACTCATTTAATATAAGTTAAATTCATATTTGTAGGAGAGGTAGAGGGGAAGAAGAAGATTGAGGAGGGGAATATAGGAGGACAGAAAAAAGAAGCAGTTGAAATACGAGAAGTATTTAATCCCGTGGACACTTTACTTGTCCATCGTTGGGTTTTCTTGTTCGTGTCATCGTCACCAGATCAACTAAAAGTTTTATAAATAATGATTAAATAACTCATGCGAGCAATAATTAATTTAAAGGCGCTCGAGTGTCTAGTCAATTGATCGAACGAGATTAATTACGCTTTTGATAGCGGATTTTTGGTAATTTATATTTAGAATTTAATTAAGGGCAGCATAGCTTGATCGGCGGAGGAAAACAAAGTTTAAATAATTATTATATATTTTATATTCAGAGTCGAGTAATCGAATATGGCACTAGAAAGTGCCTCCGCGCCTGAGACTCTGATTCAAAGGTTTGCCTAATTTTTTTCTCTATTCCATTCAATGACCGAGAATTTTTTTTAAAGTAACGCGTTGGATATGTTAAAAATTCCGCATTTTTATTTTATTTTTCTACGGAAGCCCATTTGTTTTTTTAACAAATTTTTGGAGCTAACCATTTAACTACATGAAGATCTCCCGATGTTGAATCCCTTGAATGCCAGTCAGCGCGAGTGACGCCAAGCAACTTTTATATTCTAAGACTCAAAATCAAGATGAAGACAACACTTTTGTCTGATGTGTATTTAGAAAATTTTATTTTTTGTTATTTTTATTCTTGACAGTCCATTTTGTGTCTCGATCAAGGTTTTCTTTTTTTTTTTTTTTTTTTATTATTTTATGATCATTTTTAAAGATTTATTAGAAAGGCTTAAACAGTGATAGAAATTAAAATTTTTTTTTATTTTATTCAATTTTATTACGTGAGGTGAGTGTTCGTTGGCTGGATAAATTGGTTTTTCTTTAATTAATTAATTTAAATTAAAGTAGCAGATATTTAATAATTTTTTCAATTAAATAAATTACTGCAAAAATAAATTAGAAAAAAAAATTGACTTGTAAAAATTTTTAAAAATTAAAAATGCAATTTTTTAAAACAAATTTATTTGTTAAAAAAAAAATTTTTAATGTTCAAAACTGCTAACTTTAATGTTTATAATTAATTAAGCTGAAAAATAATTAAAATTTTAGAGAAAAACCAAAATTTAAGAGATTAAACATCAAAAGGAGATGAAAATTAAGTTAGCCGACATTTGATAATTTTTAGAATTTTTTCTTTTTTTTAAATTATGACAAAAAAATAAGAAAAAAAATTTCATTTGTAAAAAACTTTAAAAACTGTCAGTGCAATTTTTAAAAAATATTTTTTTGTTCCTATTTAATTAATGGAAAAAAATAAAAAAATTAGAAACGTCGGCTAACTTTAGTATTATCAAAAGGAGTAGCTGAAAAAAATATAAATATTGAATTTAATTTTTAAAAATAAAAAATAAGCGGTATTTTTAATTCATTCTTCACGCGTAATTTTATTACATGAATACAGCCTAGTTTATAAAACAGTAGTGTTATATTTAAAGAAAAAAGATGACTAAGACTAAAAACATACGGTTGCTAACCCACACATTTACAATTGTCCGTATTATAAGCGCTGGTTGTACAATGTACAAGCAAGCACTTACATTTATATAGACGCTAACGATAAACGCACTCATACTTTTTAATACAGTTGACTGTTAACAAATACCCAATAAAAGGTATGTCTACTACACATTTTTACTCGTCGACGGTATGTCCACCATTATGAATGAGCTGTACGTATTACATGTGTGATTTATTGACGACTAAAAAATTTAACTGACTCGCATTTTGTACCTATTAGATTTTATTTTACATAAATATTTACATGACAATTCTATCAGGTGATAATGCAACAATCATGATGATTAAAACTTGAGATGATTATGATGAATGATGATTATGATGTGCATGACATTAAATTTAGTAATGATGTCATAGATTTGGTAAGGTATTTTATTTTTATTAATTTTACCGAGGTATTTACATTTACATACATTAAGTATGTTACTTTTTTTCTATAGTTTCAACTTAATCTTCTTCCTTATTTAATACTTATTAATAAAACCTATTTTAATGTCTTGCTTGGTGCTCATTAATTAATCTATTAATCTATTGGGAATGGCTATTTGGTTAAATTTTTAGTCTTGCAAAAAATCAAATTCTGATGATTTAAAAATTTTTAAAAATTATTCTATTTTTTTATCGATCACATTCTTGCTACTGGGAAATAATTACTTATTATAATTATTGATTGTTTGCTTGTCGGGGTATTTAGTTCGCCATTTAAGAGCAATGTTTTTTAGATGGTCAATAATTTGTGCTGGAGACGCAAAAAAAAAATTCGCAAAAATTTCCATTATTTTTTATAATTAATTTAGCAGATATTTATTAATTTTAAAAATTTTTTTAACAAATTAATTATGGCAAAAAAAAAGTTGACAGAAATTTTAAATGCAATTTTTTTGAATTTTTTTTACTAATTAAATTTTTAAAAAAATATTTTTCAAAAATTATAAATTAAATAACTATAAAATTTATAAAAAAAATATTGATAGTTTATTTCAATTTTATCAATTGATTTGTATCCATGATTAACAAAGTAATTTATTGGCTATTTGATTGCTTATTAAAATTTATTGACTATTGTTAAATTTATCTGTCAATTGCGCTGTTAATTATTAACTGCTGAGTTACTTAACAAATAAATTGTTAATTGCCTTTATTTTTTCTTTATCTATCTACTGAAATTTATTATCACACGATTTAACTGCTGATAATGACATTGATATATCAATGATAAAAATAATAATTTAAAAATTTTAATTCTTTATATTTTCCATGTAATATTTTCTTAAATAATTTTTTTCAACTAATTTCTTCAATTATTAACCAAAAAATCGCGATAAGAAATTTAAAAAAATGGTGTGCACATTTCTTCATAGTCAGAAATTATTCCTTAATTATTCTATGAATGCGTCGAATAATAAATTTATTTAAAAATGTTCCTTCAAAAAGATAAAAGGTTTGTTATTAATTAACCAGTATGACTTTTTTTTTTAATTAAAAGGCATTGAAAAAAGAATCCAAGACTTCAAGGATGTTCAATTGAATGATAATATTTGTTTATCAGATCATCATAATTTTAATCATCGATTATTGCATCATGACCAAGATAAAGACACAAAAAATTTTTATGAGATGCCCAATGTTATTTACAAAATATGATTTTTTTTTTTCTATAGCAATGCAGATGATGATCTAGAAGATGGAGAAATCCCTTCAGACGAAGATGATGAGGTGACCCCGCCCGTTGAAACTAAGGTTGAGCCTCCTAAGCCCCCGTCAAAATCAGATTCATCAAAGGACAAAAGTTCTGATTCAAAATCCAGTAAATCTAGTAATAAAAAATCTTCGAATGGCAGCTCTAGTAGCAACAGTAAAACAGTCGATAGATTTAATAAATACAAAAGTGTATCAGATGATTGGGCGGGTGATGTGGAAAAGGCTATAAAAGCTGTTCTAGGAGAGAAAGATAAATTTAAAAATCAAGAAAAGTCTCAAAGTAAAAGTAGCAGCAACAATAGTCGTTCTAGAAATAAAAAAAGAAACCGTGATGATAAAGAAGATGATCGTCCGAAAGATCAAAAGGTTTTTATTTATTAATTTTTTTTTTTTTATTTAATCTCTTAGATTTTTCTTTACATTAATTATTTATTTACTTACATGAATGCCAATTGGCATTGTACATCTATTAAAATATTCTTTAAATTATAAATTATAAATTTTTAGTAAATTTAAGGTAAAAGACTTAGTTATTGACACTGGCCTAGTTATCGACACTTGCAATTTTATTTTAATTAAAAAAAAAAAAAAAAAACAAATCAACTCTAATAAATTTATAAATTTAATTTTAGAATTGTAAATTTTAAGATAATTGATTTTTTGAGAACATTTCATTTTTTTTTATTAGAATAAAATTGCCAGTGTCAATGACTCGGCTGCCCAATTTCAAAACACAGTAGCTGCAAATTTTAAGATTTTTAAAAATTTTTCTTGTTAAAAAAAAGTTTGCGCGCCTAATTGATAAAAAATTTGATTTCTGATTAGAAAATACTTGAATATAAATATTTTTAAGATAAAATACTTGAAATTAAGGTCTAAAAGTTATAAGAAATGCAGTAATACTAAAAAAAATCAGGTATAAAAATTTTACAGTTACTGATGTGTTTTAAAATTGGGCAGCTGAACTGGATCTTTTACCTGATTAATTTATTAATTTTTAGCATAAAGATAATATTTTTTATTGCTAATAATAAATCATTTTTATTTTTTTAGAGAAAACGAGTTAGTGATGACGAAAATATCAACGACGATGATGACGAAATGCTTTTTGTTAGAGGAGCGTCACCAGTTCGCCGTGACGTCCGCGACAGCCCTTTACCATCTCGTCGATCCCACGACCGAGATAGCCCGGAAAATAATTCTGACCGTGATTCTGATGGAAGAGGGAGTCGACACCGAGACCACGACAAGCGAAGTGGCTCAACTGGCCGTGGATCGAGCCGTCGTACGAAAAATGACCGCGGATGCAATAACAATAAAAACAACAAAAGTCGCTCTCAATTGAGAAATGAACAACGTAGTGGTAGGCGAAACCAGAATAATGATAATGCTCAAGATGCTGATTCTATTTGTGTGTATTATATGCAAGGTAAATGTCATAGAGGTGATGATTGTCCCTTTTCTCACAATGCATTGCCTCCGCGTAAAATGGAGCTTTGTAAATTTTATATCATGGATTGCTGCGCCAAAAGAGACAAATGCCTTTATATGCACCATGATTTCCCTTGTAAATTTTTCCACACTGGTCTTAAATGCATCCAAGGTGACAATTGTAAATTTTCCCATGAACCCTTGAATGAGCAGGTTAAAAATATTCTGTTAAAGCATTTAGAAACTGCTCCGAAGGAAATTTTAGGTGAGTTTCCCCGGCTGAGCAGAGAAGGCGCACTAATGATGATCAACAACACAGCGAGAAATGTAGCGCAAGGTCAGGATGCTAGCACTCAAAAAATACCTAGTTTGTTTGATGTTACTCTTCCAGCTCCAGGAAATAATTTGTCGAACAATGATAAAGACGAGGAGAATTTAAATCACATGGATCAGTCTAATCAGAAAAAATCTAATTCACCTAAAGAGCGTAAGCCAGCTGGTAAAAAAACTCGTTGGGGCTCTGATGATGACAGAGTTCCATTAGAACAAATTATGCTGCTTCAATCAGTTAGCCAGCTTGGTATTCTTCCTAACGTTGCTCTCAGTCTTGCTGTTCAGCAACAGCTTCAACAGCGAATGCTTCTTCAGCAGTGTTTTGCCAATATGGATTTTTACAATGACATTCAAGGCAATACTCTAGCTGAATCTGAGGTCAATAAATTGAAAAATAAAATTGGATTTGATAATGAAATGAAAGAAAAAATTCAAGAACAAATTAAACAAAATTCTACACAAGATGTAGATTTAAGACAATTTTTAACAAACGGTCCTAAATCTTCTTCTGCTGGTCAAGATGATTCAAAAGAATCTAAAGCTAATGAAGAAAGCGATCATGATGATGAGTCTGACCTTGTTATTGCCGTGCCAACTGATGATGATAAAAGTAAAGAAAAAAGTGCCGAAATAAATGAATCAAGTGTTATAAATTCTTCTAAGTCTTCCTTAAAAGTTGAAAATCCGAATAATAATCATGATAAGGAGATGCTTCCTAATTTACCTAAAAAAGCTCAAGAATTATTTTTACGAATTCAGCAACAACAAAGAGCTGCTAATGATAGTATTGGTAATGTTGATGATAAATGTGAGGTTGAAGATGCTTCTAAAAATCAAATTGATTGGTATTCTGATGATGAGGATGGTGGCAATGATAATGATGATGATGATGATGATGATGATGATGATGATGATGACGATGATGATGAAAGTGGTAATTTACAAATTGTTATTAAGGATAATTTGAAGGATGAGAGTGAAAAAAGCGATTTAGATACTCCTGTAAAGGAAAATCCAGAGTCAATTGGTATTCCTCAGCCTGCTGTTATTGTTGATAAATTGGGAAATCTTAGTAAAATAGATATCAGCGCTGAAGTAACTAAGTTACTTTCTTCGATAAAACCACAAGGATCTGCGAAAAAAAGTGAGTCTCTACAAACTAAAGAAAGTAAAAATTTATCGGATAATAGTGATAAAATTTCAGTAAATAAATCTGAAAATGGAAGCACTAGTCCTAAATCTTATTCAAATACTACTGGGTCAGTTTCAAGGGATCCAAGAATGTCGAGAGATCCACGACAGAGACGAAATGAAGAAACAAGGACCAGCAGTCCCAGTCGGAGTGATTCAAAAAAAGAGTCACAGTCTCTGAGATTAGAAACGAGTATTTATTCATCTGGAATTACTGCTTCGGATGAATCAATGGACACTGATCTTAGAGCATCGGATCAACTCTCTGTTTCTCACAAGCAAGATCTAGATCTTCGTCAACGTTTTCCTCAGGATTTCGGTGACACAGATTTAAGAGTAACTGGCAATTTTATAGACTCACAAAGCTCGGATACAGATCTTAGGCAAATATTGAGCTTGCCATTCAAGCCGGCTCCGACTCACGTTCCTTGCACGGAAATAGAGGCCAGTATTGCCTCGCATGCTCCAGTGACCTATAAAGTTTATGTTGTTGATATTCCTCGGCCGAATTATTGTGGGTTAAAGTTGACTAAAAATGATTCTATTGTTAAATACGACCCTCGGCTGCGTAAAATATTCAGATTGTCTCAGTCAGATATTATTGACTCGCCAATGTCGCCGCCGCCTGTAAAGCCAGACACTCCCAAGTCACCACCGCCGCAAGTGCGGATGGATCCAAGGAGGAAAACTCTTGAAGCTAGTATGCAGTCGAAGACTATGGGGTCAGGAATGATGAACCTGGGTATGAATCCGCAGCAGGGCCAGGATATCTCCATGGGAATGGCTGCTCAATCTTCAAACATGGGAATGCCTATGGGCCAAAATTCTATGATGAACAACATTGGAATGATGAATCCTATGATGAACAATTCTGTTTCGCAGCAAAATATGCCACCTATTGGGATAGGTGGCATGAATAATATGCAATTGGGGCCTAATAATCCCCCAATAGTTCCTAATCAAATGGGATTTGATCCGAGGTATCAGGCTCATAGAAATGGAGGTCCTGGGTTACTTGGACCGGCTCCGGTTATGGGATTTAATGATCCTCGTGAGGGACCTAATTATGATGGGCCGGCTTATCCTGCGGGAAATTTTGGAAACTTTGGACCCAATCCCATGGGCGATCAACCTATGATGGGCTACGGTCCCAATGGACCTAATAATATGAATTTTGGAAATAATGCGCAAGGCGACTGGGGGAATAATCAGAATTCTATGCGACGAGGGGGAAGAGCTAGAAGAAGAAATAGAAATCGAACAAATGTCGGATCAAGAAATAATAGATCACCTCCTTAAACAAAATTTTGCATAAAGGATAATAATTTTATATTATATCTTATAAATTTTTTGAGTAAGTGTAAAAATTATGTATAAAAATTAATTAAGCTTACGAAAGATATTTAGCGAGTAAATTATGCAAAGTTTTGTTTTATTTTAAGTTTATTAATATTGTAATTATTATAAGGAATTTTTGGTTTAAATTCTTATAGGATTAATCTTACTTGGAATATTAGCTTCCTGTAATATTCTGAGCTTCTGAAGAGTCTATGAGATTTGTATTAATTTACGGTGAAAAAAAAATTTTTTCATCATACAAGGAAAGAACCAGATGATACTGAATATTATTCTAAATTATATTGAGTGAAAAAAAAAAAAATAATCAGATAGTAGCTAGTATAATCTGGATTACAATGAGTATAATCCAAATATCACTGAGAATAATCTGAGATGATATCTAGTGTCATCTTATTTTTTTTCTATACAAATAATAATCTTATATGATATGTAAGAACTGTAATTTATACTTATACTGGCGTATGACACTAGATGTCCATTAGCCACTCGAAGAAAAAAATTAGGTATTGATTAATTTATATATATATTTGTAAATACAAGGAAAAATGAAAGATTTTTCTTGTAAACTTAATAAAAAAAAATATTTATCAAGTCAACAATCAAATGGAAATTATGACTGCGTTATTTAAATTAATTATTTTACATACGGATTTTTAGATACGGAAATGCTTTTTTTCGGTTATGTTATACTAAATAAATGTACGGACTTTTTTCTAGTATCACTAACTTGTAATCAGAAATAATATTAAGTATAAGTAGGATAGACCTACTTATTTCTTTTAATATATTAATAATAAAGTAATAAATGTCAATGTTGAATAAATTTTATTTTTTTACGTCTATCGAATGTATATAGTGTATAGTAACTAATAATGCGCCTTTATAAATACATTAAATCGTTAGAAACTTTATATAAAAATATTAAGTTCAATGTAAATTAATATCTGTTAAATATATTCATCTCATATGTAATCTAATGTTTTATTTTACGATTAGTATTATTAAAAAATAATTATACTGTAAATTATGCAATATATTAATAGCCTATCGTACCAACGAATTGAAGAATATATGCAGTTGATTTAAAACATTTTAAATGATTTTAAAAATCAGTTGAACAAATTTTATTATAATTAATATTTATCTTAATGAATTAAAAATGTCTGTGATCATTATTTTCTTTTAAGAATTAAGGAAATAAATTTTAGCAGTTATTTTTATTTTAAAATAAGGAAATCTAAAATGTTTAAAAGAAAATAATGTAAATTATTAATTTAAAAAATCACTATAGTGAAAATTAAAATTTTATTAATTACGTAATTTAAACAAAATACCATTACAATAATCCAGATGTCAGAAATTCATTATTATGAATATCAATATTATTATAATAATATCAATATCTACGTATGTTTTTTCTTACCATTTAATTTGGAAAAAATATTTACTGTTATCTACAAATCTTTGTACAGAAATTGATATTTTTTATTTAAAAAAAAAAAATAAAAAAAATTATTTGATGATAAAAAACATAATAAATTTATTTACTTAATTAATGTGTTACAGCACTTAAAGGTTCTGCACGGATCGATCTAAGCTTTAGTTTAGAATCGACATCATCATCCAACTCTCCGATTATTGCTCTGTAATTTAAAAAAATTAATTAGTCATTTTTTTGTTTTATAAAAATTTATAAAAAATTTATATACGTACACATTATCGCCTCTGATTATATGGAGACCCAAAACAACTTGCTCGACACCTTGTGTCATACTGTAAACTCGCTCATGTGAATCATCGAGAATTAAATTAATAGTTTGATCAAATCCTTTTAATGTTCCCTAAAATAAAAAACATTTAAACATTTATTTATATTTTTACTTAAACAATAATATGACATTATTATAAATTTAAATATATTTATATTTACTCAATTTATTGACAAAAATATTTGATCTTATTATTAATCAATAAAATGATTTTTTATAAAAAAATATTTAAATTATTTAAAAAAAAATAAATTTTTAAAAACTTACAACAAAATTTCTGCCATCCGACGTGATTATAGATACAGTATCTAAAAATATTTAATTAAGGATTTTATAAAATAGATTATTAATTATTTTTATTAATTAATGTAAAGGATACGATTAACATAGGTTTCAAGTCCTGACGCCATCCTGTCACTTTTTTTTAACTAAAATTCTTTAATAAATTTTATTATTTATATTTTTTCACGCGTCAGCTAGTTGTTTGTTGTTTGTATGGTGTTGTGAATCCGAAAAGATTAACAGCTATGGAAGTAGAAGAATTGAAAGCGATTTTAGAATCTAAAGGCGGTAGCATAATGGAAGAAGAAGAAATAATTTACGAGGGCGAGGAATCAGCTGTTGAAGAAATCCAAGGTGAAGATATTGTAGAAATAATTGAAGAGATTGAAGTTGTTGAACCTGAAGAGGAGGAGGAGGAAGAGGAAGTAGTCGAGGAGGAGCAGCCACAAGCTGTCTCGGTTACTGAGAGTATTCATGATGACTCCTCGCAGAGTCAGGACAAAGTTAATCAGACGACTGACAGTAGATCTGCCGATGATAATCAGAATAATTACTCTCAACAAATAGTTACTTATGACGCTGATGAAGATTGGACGCTTGAAGAGAGCGACCCGTTGGAATTGAAGTCCAATCATTCAGCTAAAAACAAAGAAAATTCTGACAAAGTTACTGTTAATGGTAATAAAGTCGTGAATGCCAAAAGTGAAAATGTTTATCGGACTGTTAAGTACTCTAGTTCGGAGTATGAGGAGGCTACAATTATTAGGGCTGATGAAGATCATCATGAAATTGTTAAAAATACTGAGAATGACTTGGTTTATACTGTACTGAGTGGAAAAAAATCGGATAAGTCTAAACAAGAAGATCCTCGTTATATTAAAGTAAATATTTTTCATTTTTAATTTTAATTAATTTAAATTAGAAAAATATATTTATTAAATAATGACTTGTTAAATTGCACTGTACTTTCTTAAATATTTATGTTTTAGAAGATATAAGCACATCCCGATGTTACACTCATCAAGAGCTTTCATTTGAGTACCCACATGCATTTTTATATATTTTTCATATATATGTATATATAATATATATAAATGTATGAAAAATTGATGTGGGTACTTAAATGAAAGGTCTTGATGAGTGTAACATCGGGATGAGCTTATACCTTTAAAAATGTCAATAGTTCACAAGATACAAGGTCGTTTCTTAATTATGTGTCTAGAGATAGAGACTAATAGAGAATAAAAAATTCTTCTTATTCTCTTTATAATATAGATTAATTTAAAATTTTATTTTTAAAGATGGAAAGGTTGGATGAAAATATTGCTGAAGATGGAACAATTTATTATGAAGACGGTGAAATGGGAACTTTGTATATGACTGCGGCTGTTAATGATGGTGAACAATATCAATATGAAGAACAGGCTTTGGAGCAAGATGACCAGGAACAAGGAGAACAGCAAGAACAATGGGATGGAACTAATGATGTTATGGAAGAACAAGGAGATGAAAATCAGGTATTATTAATTTTAGAATAACAGATGTCACTCGAGTAACAGGTTATCGAAAACAATCATTTTAAATTGATAATGTCTACAGAAAAATTAATTATAATTTTTTTAAGGACCAAATATATCTTCATGAGGATGAAGATGGCCAGCTTTATTTCAAGGATGAAAACGGAATAATGCAGCCAGTTTATTTGACTGAAGACGGGAATTATGCTATCGCAGATACGTCTGAGGATCCTCAAGATAATCAAGAGTTGAAACTTCAACAAAAATCTGATGAATCAATTTTGGGTGTTCAGGAATTGGACACTAATTCATTGAGACAGGTAAATTTAAATAAAAATTATCAATTTTTTAAGACGCTTTTAAAGATATAAGCTCATCCTGATGTAACACTCATTAAGAGCTTTCATTTGAGTATCCATATCAATTTTTCATATATTTTTCATACATACATATATGTAATCTATATATGAAAAATTTATGTGGGTACTCAAATGAAAGGTCTAGATAAGTGTAATGTCGGGATCAGCTTATATCTTTAAAAATGTCAATAGTTCACGAGATACAAGGTCATTTCTTAATTACGTAAAATTGCACTGTACTTTCTGAACGATTAACATTTTAAAAGATATAAGCTCATCCTGATGTTACACTCATCAAGAGCTTTCATTTGAGTACCCACATGCATTTTTTATATACTAGAATTTAATTTTCGCGCGCAAGCGCGCGCCCTGACTATGGAGTTTGCATATATTTTCATGCTTATGATATATTCGACCAATCACGTTATGAATCGTTTGATGCCACATACATTTCATCTCAATTTTATTATGGGATTTTTCATATATACATATTAGGGTGGCGCAAAAAAATGACTATTTTTTTTTTTTTTAGTCTCGAGTGAAAAAATGTTAGTTTTTGATGTTTTAAGAGCCCTCACCAAAGGACAGCTCAAAAAAAATTTTTAAGAGGTCACTCCTAATTTTTCAAAATTTCAAAAATCGTCAAAAATCAAAATTTTTTTTTTTTCAATTTTTTTTTTCTCGTTACGGTATAATTTTATAGACTAAAAAAAAAATAAGTTTCTGAAAATTTCAGTTTTAAAAATTCGAATTTAAAGGTCGCTTATAATTTTTTTCAATTTATTAGTGCATTAGTTTAGATTTTTTCGAGCGACCTTTAACTATTCAAATTAAAATTCCATGCATTTTTTTTTTTTATTTAGTACAATAATCGATAAGAATACATCACGAGATAAACTAAAAATCAAGCACAACATAGAAAATATAATTTTTTTTTAATTTAATAATTTTATTTAATAGACTGCCAGGTGTGGGTTCGAATCCCAAGCTGGTCTTAGAAACCAGCTTGGGATTCGACCTTGCCGGTTGAGATTTGACCTTGGGGTTGAGATTTGACCTTGCCGCGTTTGTTAAGATTTTTTCAAACCCTCGAAAAAATCTAAACTAATGCACTAATAAATTGAAAAAAATTATGAGCGACCTTTCAAAATTTAAATTTTGAACTGAAACTTTCAGAAACTTATTTTTTTTTTTTGGTCTATAAAATTATACCGTAACGAGAAAAAAAATTGAAAAAAAAAAATTCGATTTTTGACGATTTTTGAAATTTTGAAGCTGTCCTTTGGTGAGGGCTCTTAAAACATCAAAAACTATCATTTTTTTAATCGAGACTAAAAAAAAAAAATAGTCGGTTTTTTTTGCGCCACCCTAATACATATGTATAATATATATAAATATATGAAAAATTGATGTGGGTACTCAAATGAAATGTCTCGATCAATGTAACATTGGGATGAGCTTATATCTTTAAAAATGTTAATAGTTCACGAGATACAAGGTCATTTCTTATAAATACATTGACCACAAAATTTTTCTTATCCTCTTAATAATATAGATTATTATCAATTTTTTTTTAGGGATCATCGACATCCAGCCCAACAAATAATGACGTTGACAACGAAGACAATACCGTGACCATATCTTTAATAATATCAGAAGATGAAAACGGGCTGAAAAGAACTCAAGTTATTATTCCAACGCCAGATGCATTAAAGTGTGAAATTTGTCAAAAGAGTTTTAAGACTCAATTCCAATTACTCCGTCACAACAGGTTAAAGCACGCTCGTGAGGAAGATATCACGACTCGTAATTTCCCTTGCGACTTGTGCCCAAAAAGATTTCCCGATCAAAATTCATTAGCTAAGCATCGTAAGACTCATACAGGTGATCGGCCATTCCAGTGCTTGGAGTGTCAAGATACATTCCCAACTGCTCCAGCGTTACGTCGTCACATGAGCTCTCACAATCCAGAATCAAAACCATTGCCTTGTATCTATTGTGGTCGTCGTTTTCTCGACAAGCCAGCTCTTGAAAAACACGAAAAATCTCACCTGGCTGCTGAGCAGCAGCGTGGTCATGTCTGTGACATCTGTAATAAAACTTTCATGACTCCAACTGATTTAATGGTTCACAAGAAAAATCACGATCCAGATAAGAAATTTGATTGCGAAGTTTGTGGTCGAGAATTCAATCGACTTAATAATTTGCAGCGTCACATGATGGTTCATCAACAACAGGTACGTGAAAAAGCTCCGGTAAGTTTATTCACGTACAATCATTATCATGATTTTTTTTTCTCACGAGAATTATTTTTTTTTATCATTTTTTTTAACAAGGTTGAAGATCTAATTATTGACACTTGCAATTTTATTCTAACTAACAACCTTGCAATCACTATGTGACTTGTGAACTATAAATAAATTTTGCTTTTTTAAATAATGACTATCTTGATGTTATACTGATCAAGAGCTTTCATTTGAGTACCCACATACATTATTGATATATTTTTCATATATACATTCATGTATATATATATATATATATATATATATACATGAAAAATTGATGTGGGTACTCAAATGAAAGGTCTCGTTGAATTTAATGTCGAGATGAGTTTATATCTTTAAAAATCTGAATAGTTCACAAGATATTTGTTAAATTACACTGTACTTTCTTAACTATTGACATTTTTAAAGATATAAGCTCATCCCGATCATACACTCATCAAGAGCTTTCAATTGAGTACCCACATGCATTTTCATATATTTTTCATATATACATATATATAGTATATATAAATATATGAAATATATGAAAAATTGGTGTGGGTACTCAAATGAAAGGTCTTGATGAGTGTAACATCGGAATGAGCTTATATCTTTCAAAATGTCAATAGTTCACAAGATACAAGGTCATTTCTCAATTATGTATCTAGAGATAGATCATTATAGGTTAAAAAATTTCAAGTGTCATTAACTGGGTCTTCTATCTTATATAATTAATTGTATGTCATAATAATTTGATTTTTTTCGAATTTTAGCAACAGGGACAGAGTCAAGAAATTTTATCGTGTGACGTTTGTGGTATAACTTATAAATTTATGAGTTCACTGACCCGGCATATGGTGACATCACACATGAACCCAGAGAAATTGCGACAACAAGCTGAAGAGCAACGACGAAAACGTGAAAATAATTACAAGCGTTATCTGGAAAACCGTAAAATGTACGAAACTCAGCATGGTACTGGGTACGGAAAACGCAGTTACAGAAGTGCTATGAGTAGTGATCCTGATGATGATTTCGCTTGAGATTCATCTGATGATTCATTGACTCAGAGTTCAAGGTCTTCATATAAAAAAAAAATTACATCATAATAATTCTACATCGCGTCATTTTTGGCGTTACGGATATCAGTAATGCATTTAATGTAATAATAATAATGATAATAATAAAAAAATCATTTATTATTTACAACAGAATGAATTATAAAAATGTCAAATTTACAAGATAGTTACTCACATAAAGGTATTGTTTTATCAAGAACAATTTTTTAAATTTAATTATTCATATTTGCAGTAATTAGTTTTTTAAGTAAGTCAACTATAAATATAATCAATTAATTATGGCTAAAAGTTTCAAGTATATTATATTACTTTACAATGATTCGATGGTAAATTTATTTTCTAATCTTAACATTTTAATAAGTGTGTTTTTGTGGTAACTGAAAGTAAATAAATAAATAATTAATTATATGTATGTATTTTTTATCATGATCATGATAGTAGTTAATTTAAACAGTTTGTCTTGATGATTCATTTTTTTTTATTGGCACAGTGATTCCATAAATTTAAAATAAGCGTATTTAATGTCATAATTCATGTCGTACCAATAATTAACTGCTATGCATCCATGTGATTGTTGTACATGGTGAAACCATAATGATGGTAAATAGAGTACTTCACCTTTTTTTACTTTTACTTTTATTGTTGTAACATTCTTATATTGCGGGTAGCTGAAATTAATTTTTTAATTATTAATTATTGAAAAAAAATTAATTTTTAGTAATTAATCATTCTAAAATTTTTTTTTTTTTCAATAATTAATAATTATGTAATTATAATTATAATTATTTATTATTTTTAATTATTAATTTTCATGTATATATATATATATATATATATATACATGAAAAATTGATGTGGGTACTCAAATGAAAGGTCTCGTTGAATTTAATGTCGAGATGAGTTTATATCTTTAAAAATCTGAATAGTTCACAAGATATTTGTTAAATTACACTGTACTTTCTTAACTATTGACATTTTTAAAGATATAAGCTCATCCCGATCATACACTCATCAAGAGCTTTCAATTGAGTACCCACATGCATTTTCATATATTTTTCATATATACATATATATAGTATATATAAATATATGAAATATATGAAAAATTGGTGTGGGTACTCAAATGAAAGGTCTTGATGAGTGTAACATCGGAATGAGCTTATATCTTTCAAAATGTCAATAGTTCACAAGATACAAGGTCATTTCTCAATTATGTATCTAGAGATAGATCATTATAGGTTAAAAAATTTCAAGTGTCATTAACTGGGTCTTCTATCTTATATAATTAATTGTATGTCATAATAATTTGATTTTTTTCGAATTTTAGCAACAGGGACAGAGTCAAGAAATTTTATCGTGTGACGTTTGTGGTATAACTTATAAATTTATGAGTTCACTGACCCGGCATATGGTGACATCACACATGAACCCAGAGAAATTGCGACAACAAGCTGAAGAGCAACGACGAAAACGTGAAAATAATTACAAGCGTTATCTGGAAAACCGTAAAATGTACGAAACTCAGCATGGTACTGGGTACGGAAAACGCAGTTACAGAAGTGCTATGAGTAGTGATCCTGATGATGATTTCGCTTGAGATTCATCTGATGATTCATTGACTCAGAGTTCAAGGTCTTCATATAAAAAAAAAATTACATCATAATAATTCTACATCGCGTCATTTTTGGCGTTACGGATATCAGTAATGCATTTAATGTAATAATAATAATGATAATAATAAAAAAATCATTTATTATTTACAACAGAATGAATTATAAAAATGTCAAATTTACAAGATAGTTACTCACATAAAGGTATTGTTTTATCAAGAACAATTTTTTAAATTTAATTATTCATATTTGCAGTAATTAGTTTTTTAAGTAAGTCAACTATAAATATAATCAATTAATTATGGCTAAAAGTTTCAAGTATATTATATTACTTTACAATGATTCGATGGTAAATTTATTTTCTAATCTTAACATTTTAATAAGTGTGTTTTTGTGGTAACTGAAAGTAAATAAATAAATAATTAATTATATGTATGTATTTTTTATCATGATCATGATAGTAGTTAATTTAAACAGTTTGTCTTGATGATTCATTTTTTTTTATTGGCACAGTGATTCCATAAATTTAAAATAAGCGTATTTAATGTCATAATTCATGTCGTACCAATAATTAACTGCTATGCATCCATGTGATTGTTGTACATGGTGAAACCATAATGATGGTAAATAGAGTACTTCACCTTTTTTTACTTTTACTTTTATTGTTGTAACATTCTTATATTGCGGGTAGCTGAAATTAATTTTTTAATTATTAATTATTGAAAAAAAATTAATTTTTAGTAATTAATCATTCTAAAATTTTTTTTTTTTTCAATAATTAATAATTATGTAATTATAATTATAATTATTTATTATTTTTAATTAATTATTTATAATTATTAATTATTAAAAAAAAAAAATCATTTTTAATAATTAATAATTGTGACATTAAATTTTTTTAATAATTAAGAATTATAAATTTATAATTATTTATTAATTATTGATTATTAGAAAAAATTAATTTTTGAAAATTAATAATCGTAAAATTAATTTTTTTTTAATAATTAATAATTGAAAAATTATAATTATTTATTATTTTTAATTATTAATTATAAAAAAAAAATTAATATTTTAATTATTAATTATTAAAAAAAAAAATTAATTTTTTATTATTCACTCTTTAAAAATTAATTATTAAAAAGTAATTTTATTTTGGTGAAAAATTCAATTGCTAATATTTTAAAAAGAAATTCAAAGAAATTATAGTAAAAAAATAAAAAAATGAAAATTACTTGACATAATCAGGATTTAAAGGATCGATTGAGATCCATGGTATTAAATTTTCCGAATTAAGATTATCCAATTCTTGGGATGAATTAATATTTTCATTATAAATTATATCCCATTTATTATTTTTTTGTTTTTTGTAAGTAGTTGATGGATACTTTTCATAAGGTATCCATGGTAAATCTGTCGGTGGATGCAAAATAAATTCTTTTTCTCCCTCTACTACACAATATATATTTTCGTATGGATCTTTGTGCACTAAAATATTCAAGAATAATTATTTAAATTCATATATTGATAAAATTAGCTACAAAAATTTATGATAGTGAAATTGAGAGACATCTGATAATTTTTATAAATTTTTTTAACTGATTAATTATGGCAAGAAAAATTTATTTTAAAAATTCCATCTTAAAAAATTATCGAGTGTCTACTAACTTTAGTGTAATAAAAAATTCTTACATTAAGAATTTTTTGGAAAAATAAATAAAATAAAATGTAAAAATAATTACTTGATGTAATTGCACGTTTATCACCCATCCAAAAATTAATAGCATCAGGATCTTTAGCAAAAAGTTCACTAGCCCATGGAACAATATCAACATCCCTCCATAATTCGTGAAAAAGATTTTCAAAATTTGAATTTTGTTGTTGGATGTAATAAATTTCATCATCAAAAGGATTATCTAGTTTGTCTAAAAATGAAGACATTTTCATTTCGCGTTCTTCGGGTAAAGTGAATAATTTTTTTCCATTATCAGATACTATTGCATCTGCGTAACCGTTTGGAGTTACGGCAACTGTTACTAATTTATCTGGAAGTTTTTCACGAAAATACGAAGCGCTCCATTTATAAATTGCCGGCCAATTATATAGTGCATTTTTAATTAAAACTGGTACATTACGAGAAATAAAATCACGATGAAATTTTAGTGGGTTTTTTTTAATTTCATCAATATTTATCGTTGCTATTTTCTTCGATAAATATAAATCTGAAAAATATTATAATTAGATGTTTTTTAATTTTAGTTTTATTAAATATATGACTTATAAATAATAATAATATTAAAGTTAGTCGACGTTTTTAATTTTTTTTTTTCAATAATTAAATTAGAACAAAAAAATATTTTTTTAAAATTGCACTTTCAGTTTTTAAAGTTTTTTTCAAATGAATTTTTTATTTTAATTTTTTTTTTTTTATAATAATTTTTTCAACATAAAAAAAAATTCTAAAAATTTTTACATGTCGGCTTATTTAATTTTCATAAATAATAGTATTACCTTTAGCTTCTTGACATAATAAATGGAATGCTTCATTAATTTTGTTATTTTCAAAATTCTCCATCAGTATTATTTAAATAAATATTTTTAGTATTGTTTTTTTTTAATTTACTAAAATTTTATCATTAAATTTCAAAAAAACTTAACCTAATTTTTGACAAAAGTTTTATTTATGACACTGAAGTCAGCTGATAGCTGTCAATTTTTTTGATTTTTGTAACAAAGGCCGTGTTGGTTGGGGTTTTTCTTTTCTGGCGCATGCGCCGTAAAATTTGATACAATATACTAGAAATTTAAATAGCGCGCTACCTTATTTTCGACCAATAAGGAATCGTGGCCCGTTTTTTTGCGAGTTTCGACTTTTGACTAACTTCAAGACTTTCATGTATTTTAATTTAGAGGATATAATATATTTACACAACTAAATATATATCTAGCACATGCACATGTTAAACATAACCTTTAATAAATAGTATTTGTTAATTTTTTTTTTTTTTACTTATTTGAGCAATAAAAATAAAATGATTGTTTTTTTTTTCAATTAAATAAGAACTAAAAAAATATTTTTTTTTAAAAATTACAATAGTTTTTTCAAATTTTGTACATGTCAAATTTTTTTTTAATGAAAAAAAATTTTTTTCTAAATTTAAATATTAATAACAGTGAAAATTAAAAATAGTGAAGTAATATTAAATACAAAAAAAAAATAAAAGTAAAAGAGAGCTTGTAAGATATTTTGTGTCACATTCTCCACAGTTGACAGAGGTAACAGTATAATGTTTAATATTTTATATCTTTACACGGTAAAAAGTAAATTGTAATAAATAACAGTCGATTTATAATAAGTAATGATTAACTGCTAAAAATTACCATTTTAAACAGTAAAATCGTGATTTTACTATTCACTTTATAATATTTACCATTTACTCTTTACATGGAAGAAAATACTATCTCAAACGGTAATCTATATATATAGGAGCTGTTTTATAGATGATTGACTCATCATGATATCTCTGGAACTATAAGACCTAGAGACTTGAAATTTGGCAGGGATATTACTTTTACCATGTAGAGGTCATCAGCTAAGAACGGATTTTAAGAAATTCCTCCCCCAAAAGGGTTTGCGGGGGCGTTAACAATAAAAAATTCCCGTTTTTAAATTATAGCTCCTATCGACTCCAAATTTGGTAGGAATCTTTTGTAAGAGATGTAGACATAATCTATGAATGAATTTTACGATATCTCACCTCCATAAGGGGTTGCGGGGGTGGGTATTACTAATGAAAATTTTTAATTTTCAAGCTATAGCTCCTATCGACTTCAAATTTGGTAGGAATCTTCTGTAAATGATGTAAAAATAGTTTATGAACCAATTTTCCGATATCCCATCCCACAGGGGGTTGCGGGGGTGGGTGTTAACAATGAAAATTTTCAATTTCCAAGCTATAGCTCCTATTGTCGCCAAGTATGGTAGGAGTTTTCTCTTTTCTATATGTGACACAGAAATGATCTAAGAGCGGATTTTACGACGAACCATCCCTAATAAGGATCGCGGGGGTGGGTTAACAATAAAAAATCTTAATATCTAGAATATAGCTTCTAAAAGCTGTAAATTTGGTAGGAATCTTTTATTTCTTACGAGGAGAGAATCTCAAGACGGATTTCAAAAAATTCTACTTCCTACAGGGATTACGGGGGTAGGCGTGTTAAAATCCAAAATTTTAATTTCCAAACTGTAACTTCTACAGTCTCTAAATTTAGTAGAAATTTTCGTGAATAATGTAAAGTTCAGCTGATAATGGATTTTCTTGAATTCTAACCCCAAAAGGGATTGCGGGAGTGATAATAGTCAAATAATTCATATTCTTCAAATACAGATCCTCCAGATATAAAATTTGATAGAATCTTAAGAGAAACGAAAAATTACAGGGATGGCCTTCAAGGTCAACCGATTTAAATATTTTTTTCTTAATGTCAATTATTATTCATTTTTGGAAAATAGTCACGGGAATGATATAGTGATTGCACATTGAAAGTTACAATAATTTTTAGCTAGAATAATCACAGGAATAAAAGGTCAATCCGATGGAATTTGGAATCTGTGCAAGTCAAAACAATACTCCAATTAAATTTCAAGTCTAGATCTAAAAATACAATTCTATTCAATTCTAAATACAATTCTAAGTGCCCAGCGAAGCGGGCGGGTAACTGCTAGTATTCGCTATGTAAATATCTAAAATGTTAAAGTATAATAATTAAGAATTCAGACTTGTAAAAAGTATGTAAAAAGTATAAAATAAAGTTAGTAAATTTCTAATACAAGCAACGTCAATATTTACAAAGTAAAATGGTAAATTTTAAACGCAAAGCTAAAAATCAAACTGTAATTATTGACTTGCTTGGACTGGTAAAATGTATATTTTAAAAGTATAATTTTTACTGTTTCAAATGTTAAATTCTCCAGAGTGAGACCCCCTTCTCTTTCATCTGAGTTCCTCTTCTCCTCATAATATGGACTATATATTGAAATGGCAATTTTTACTGTTTGAAACTGTAAGTTTTTAAGATGAAAGAGTCGTTATTTACTATAGTGACAGCTACTAATCACTTGTTTAGGATATTAAATTATAAATTGTAGCTTTTATACTTTCTACATTAAGTTCTGTAATATTTATATTTTTGCCATCCCGATTTCCGCTTTACTGTTTGAAACTATAAAAATTAACCAGAATCCGAGTATATTTTACAGTTTACTTTTTTCCGTCTACATATTTCGCGACCCAAATGCCAAAAGGGCGTATAAAAAAACTTTCAATTTTGCTCTGAAATATAAAATATATATCTAAAAAATAAATCCAGATCATTTAATATTGTTGAATTTCGCGCCTCTGACTCAGCAACCATGTTAGATATCACAACTGTTTTTTTTTTCAATTAAATAACTGTTCTTTTTCAATTAAAATTATAAACAGAATTCGTATTAAAATTGTAATAAGGTAAAAAGAGCCAGTTATTGACACTTGCAATTTAATTCTAATTAAAAAAATTAAATGATCTCAAGAAACCAATTTTCTTAAAATTTATAATTCAAAAATTATATTTGTTAATTCATTAAAGTTGATTTGTTTTTTTTTAACCTTTAATAATACCTATTTGTAATTTAATAATTATTATTTAATAATCAATGCATATTTTCAATTGTACAGAAAAATTAGTACCATATAAATCACAATTCAAAGCAATACGGCAAAAAAAATTATGCGCCCCTTTAGCTTTGGAAATTTATTTTTTTATTTTTAGAGTTAAAAAGTTTTAATAAAGCGATCAGTAAAAAAAAAAAAATTATAAGGTAAAAGACCCAATAGCAGAACGACGAAGCCTGTGTCAGTATTTATTATTTTAAAATTATTTAAGCAACTTTGAAAAAGAAATAACTTAATAGATCGGTCGAAACAAACATTCAGTTGTGTAAAAATAAATTCAAATATAAGTTTAAGCAAAGTTTAATAAATAAAAAAAGTGTTTTTCGAAAAAGTCCAAAAGACCCAGTACCGGAACGCTAAAAATACCTAGCCCGTATAGCGGAAAATGGTTGTCCCAATACCGGAACAGTGAATCAAAAATTTCTCCAAATGCTAAAATTATGCTTCATCAAAAATGTAATGAAGTTAATGAATAGTTGAGAAATTAAACTTATGATCAATTGTATTTAATTATAAAAAATATAATTTTATTTTTGAATTCAAAAATTTTTGTGCTTTAAAATTTTTCATTCAACATGTTACACCAAAACAATGAAACGTCCTGATGTCCTGTTCTTTATTCATTTTAGATTATTTCAAGTCGATACATATTTATTTTTTTTTGGTGAAAAAAATTCCTCTTCTAAGGTAAAAGTCCCTATTATGAGACACTTTTCAAGGTAGGTTGAACATTCCTGCGAGTAATTAATCCATTTAAGAAAAAAATACACTTTTAATCGCTTTATACGATAATTTGATGATCATTAAATCAATATTTATATTGTTTTTATAGTTTTTTTGGTCAAAAATTAATTAAATTATGGTTTTTTTGGGGAAGCTACATGACCCTATTTATGAGACACTTTAAAGTCACATGTCCCAGTGTCTCGAACCACAGGACCCTATTTTTGAGACAGTTAAAAAATCAGCAAAGTTGATCAAATTTTATATATTTATCAATTTTAGACAATCGTATTTACAAAAGAAGGAATTACTTTTATTTTTAATTAACTTATAAAAAATTTTTTATCAGTTAAACAATTAATCAACGCAAATTATTGAATTAAATCTATTGTTCTTTCTTGATTTTTTTTGTCATTCCTTGATTTGAGCCATTAATTTTTTTTTCTTCTTGTAATATTTTTTTATTGTTAAATTTTTCTTCTTTCATGTTTTTTCTGGATCTAAATTTTTTTTTATAAGTTCTGAAAAAAAGTCACATTAAGTTAAATTTATTGAACATGAATGTGAGGTTGACATTTACATACCTAATTGATGAACTTTGTTGTTTATAAGATTTGTAGAATTAATATTTGTGAGCTCTGTTATAATCTCTCTGGGTTTTGCAGATATAAATATGTATCATCAGTAGAGATAGTTTGATCAATTAGTTTGTCTTCACTGAAGTCTTTAGAAGTGCACTGTATTACGTTATTGCTATCAATTGATGATTCTTGAAGACTAACTTGATTAGATTCATATGTAACCGTAAAAAATTGTTCATCATTAATTAAATTATTTTGTTCACAGTTTATCACATTAAAATGATTGTCTAAGACAGTAACGGATTGTTATACGTCTTCAATAATTCAGTTTTTGTCACATGTGACCCTATTACTGCTCTGTACAACACCCACTGAACAATAACATCCTCTTCTTTTAAAGATAACACTGTCACTGGCCCAGTTCTAATTTTTGCCTTCTTAGGACTAATACTTTTTCATTTAGCAAGGGTAACAATCGGTACTCCATAAACAGCAGCTGCTTTTCTCAAGGACAACTCTGTGTCTTCCATTGCTTTTAGAGCTTTTTTTATATTTCACGAATTATAATTACTTAATCCTTTTAATTTTTTTTTCCTTCATTTTATTATTCATATTGGAACACAACACTTTTTTTTTTTTTGGTTGAATTTGATGATTGAGTTTTTGTCACTTTGGAATTTTGTTTATGCTTCATTATCTCAGCTTTTTTTTATAATTTACTTTTTACTTACTCTGAAATAATAAGAAATAAATAATATATTTTCAGAATCAATATACAAAAAAATATTATAAATTTATCCAAAAGATTTAATTAAAAAACAGAAAAACTTGTTGACAAAGTTATTCTATGTTATGATTTGAGGTTAGGCTCATGATCTAAAACTATTTGACTTAAAATACTTACTTTTAGAAAAATATTTGAGGTTTAATAGTAGCCAATATTTTATAACATATAATTATACTATTTTTATAATTAATATCACATATTAGCAATATAAAATCTTATAAATGTACACTGTCTCACTTAATCGGGAGAAGCCGAAAAACATATGTCCGTATTACACTATACACCGAGAAAAGTGTCTCATAAACCGGGGCATTCACGTAAATAAGTGTAGGTATTGTGAGACACTCATATTTAAAATATTGTAATAAAAAAAAACGCATAAATGTGTATTACTAGAAATAAAGTCTATTACTCATCAGCTTTCAATTGATATACAATTTAATATAAAAGTAGAAGACACAATGAAATTACACTAATATAAAAAACTAGGTAGCCGTTGTCGTTTTACTATTCTCGGTCGTGGCTTTGAGCACAGATAACAAACCTCGCACTTTAATAAATATTTTTAAAAAACAGTATGGAATCAATTAACAACCAAAGTCGAAAATTGCTTTTGGAATAGATGAAATAATATATTTATTATACTTTTGGTATGCTAGCGGTGTGTTTTTTTTATAAAATAGTATTTTTATGTAGTGTATCATAAATGGGGACATCGTCTCATAATAGGGACTTTTACCTTAATGGACTTAAAAAATTTTTTACAGTTTACGCATTGAAAGTAATACACCAAGAAACGTTCATCTGATTTTGTTATTCATTCGTTTCAGGTCCTTTTCGGACGATTCATACCTACTTTCTTTATTCGAAAAAAATTTCCTCACTGACAACTCTGACAACTTTGTCACTGTCTGGAGATAGAAAATTTTTTTGGTGTATACTCAGTGTAAACTTGTGGTATATGATTCGAATTCACACCGAGTATATTGAGTGTATTTTTTATCTATACTTAGTGTTTATTCGAAAAATACCAAATATACCCACCGTATCCCCCCAGTATACACCACACCAAGTTTACACCGAATTTACTCCGAGTATACACAGTGTATACGGATCCGCTAGGGTAAAAATATCATTTTTATACTGAAAATAAAACATCAAACATTTTAAATTGTCAAGCAAATAAGTAAATCTGTAAGCAATTTATTTATTAGTATATATAAATTTAACGAAGAATATTTTTTATAGTGTGAACTACTTTTAAATTAAATAATATTTCATAAAAAATTACATCATTTCAACTCGGTTAATACAAGTAAACACAAAATTTTGAGGTTATAAACTTAATAAATTAGTTTTAGAGGTAAATATTAACAACAAAAATTTAGTTTTATTTTTAAAACTGAAGTTTATGGATACTTAATGATATTTTTATAAAAAACGTATTTACTGTATTAATTATTAAACAACAAATAATTTTTTTTATCGCACTAGATCTTGCTCCTCGGTAAAATTCACTGCCTGTTTGAGGTGGTAAAATAAACATGACAAACTGTTCCGGTACTAGGTCGGGTTAATTTTAGGTGTACCAATAGACAAACAGCAAAAATTAATATTTTTTATGAATTTTGTTTATATAAATACGTAAGACTGTGAATTTTTAATACCTCTACGTACACATAAAAAAAAAAAAAAATACTGAAAAAGTTGCTTTTTATGTTTTTTACAAGCTTAAGACTACTGATGGTTTTCTTAGCAAATTGCTTAAGGAGTCGAGATGAGTCATAGGATTCAGCTTGGTCCGATAATTTTTATTTTTTTTTTTAATATTATTGATAGAATTGTTAAATTTACTTATATTCTATTTCATTCGTAAAACATTAAGATTTCGGAAAAATAAAAATTCTTAAAATTCCATATCATACTCAATAAGATATAATATAATAATCCTGAAATTGTTCAGGTACTGGGTCTCGTTTCGCTATTGGGTCTTTTACTTACGCCCTTTTGGTATTTGGGTTGAGATTTATCTATTATTATTATTATTATTATTATTATTATTACAGTAAAGAAGATATAAAATGGATCCTGAATTAATTCCAACAAGAACTGGCAACTCACTGATGTATCAAGCCATTGGAGACAAGTTGAAAAATCTTAAATTGTTATTAGAAAATGGAATGGATGTAAATGAACCGATGATAACAACTGGAGAATTTGCTGGATTCACAGCATTGCATGTTGCATGTATGACAAGTTGCGATGACTTGGTGGAGTTACTAGTTAATGATTATAAAGCAGATGTCAATGCAATGGCTGCTGACGGGACTCAACCTATTCATTTGGCTTGTTTTTACTTACCACTAGATTCAATACTTGGCATTACTCGCGAAAGAGAACTAGGCTTTAAAAAAATAAAAACATTAGTGAAAGCTAATGCAAATGTTGATGCCGAATTTGGACTAGAAATTTTTTCAAAGCACATCAAATACAGAGAATGGTGTCCCGATTTTGGTGACAAAATCCCACTAGTTGTATATACTGTTATTGATGATAAAACATCAATAATTCATCATCTCAAAAATGTCAACTTGGACATTATAAGCCTTGCAAATAAAACATTGCTGATGTACGCTGTTGAAAAGACCTGTTATTCACATATTCCAGCTATTATGTCAAATGTGGAAGATCCTGAATTGATTGATAAGTTAATAAACCACCGCGATAATGATGATGTACCACTAACTCATTATCCATTGCATCCTAAAATATATGGAAAATTTCGATATCATAAAGCTATGATGTCCTATATTTTATTTATAGAGCCAGAATTTATTTCTATCTTATCAAGTTTGGGGGTTGACATGTATGCACTGATAAACAATGATCCAGCAACATTTTTGCCCAATCTATCAGCTTACAGAAGTTGTCCAACGCTACTGGAGCATTCTTTGCCTTACTATACTTCTATGTCCTTATCTAGGGTTTTATACTACGCCACGCTGCCTATAGATGAAGAGTCTAAGCATTTAGTAAGTTATGATTCAGAACGTGAGCGACTTGATGATCTAGAATCAATCAGAGAAAATCGAAAATATTGTATAATTATTGCTTTAAGAGATCTGGTCTTCAGAGTTGCATTCAGATTACCTGTTCCAGAACAAGAAATAAAATTGATGGATGAATTAATTGCCAGCGATGAAAATCTCAGGAAGATTGTAAATAACTACAAAGCAAATTTCATTGAAAAAGAATTGCAAGATCGTTTTATTGAATTCGGCGATAATAAAATAACAATACATGATTTTTTAATGCAAATTTTTGACAATAAAAAATTAAAAATTTTGGCACGAGAAGAAAATTTACTAGATTCCCTGTATCAAGTTTTTCACGTAGATTTCCATGATCGTTCATTTCAGAAGTTTTATCATCCAATTAAAATCAGGATAGAAGATGCTATGGAGAGATTGCGACTTTTCGAAAATTTGAAGAAAATTTCATCACTTAGAAAAGCTATACCGTTACCGTTTGAAGTGGTATTAGAAATTGTTGAGTATTTAAAAAACAAACACTTGAACGTATTTATAAAAGCATTTTATACTTCGTAAAGTTATATCGAAACCAATTTTTGTTTATTAGTTTTAAAATGAATATTTATTTTTCAATTATTAACAGTTTACATTAATTTTTAGCTTTCGCTAATTTTCATAAATATTACATTTTATGGTAAAAAAAAAATACTGTAAAAAACCATTGCATAGTTAATTGACCACAATTGTAATAATGGAATGAAGAAAAAATATCATACTTGTAATAAAAAAATAAAGTTTTTTATTTCTTTTTAATTGTATTTATCTAATCATTAAAGACTACAAGTTTTGCCTCAGCACCTAGCTAAAAAATTTTATAATAATATACTCAGTTACAGCGTTATAAAATTTAATTTTTCTTCTTTTGATAAAAATCCTTTAAAAAAAAGGTTTATTGCAAGAGGCCCAGAAAAATTGCTATAATTAGTCTGGGGTCCAGGTACATTAAAAAGGTTAAATAGATACATAGAAGTTTTGTTATACGTAAGCAACTCACTTATATTTAAAATAAGGAATACTCAAGTAATGACAAAAAAACATTAGAGAAAAGGATTTATTTTAATCCAAAAAATTTTAGAGTAACTTAATTACAGAATTTGAGTGTTGAGACAAAATGTCTAAATAAATTTTAATAATTCGTTTTTTAAAATAATTTTTAGATAATAAAAAATTAAATAGTAAAAAACAAATGAACTTTACGAATATAAAGCAAATAAAAAATAGAACTTTATAGTTGAACAATTTAACATAAACAAATATTAAACAATGAAATTCTTAAATAATACAATAAAATAACAAATTTGTAAAATTATAAAATCAGAAATATTTCTACAATTAAATAATTAAACTCAAAATACATAAAAGATTGAAATACATATTTATCCATACGTTTTGAATAAATAATTTAATGTTAAACAGTACACATGTATGTCTTCGTCTATACGTAAATGCGCTTACGTATACACAAATGCATAGATAAATAATAGAACATTAGAGTAAGTGAGAAAATGATATTGACATTTTTTAAGATATAAGCTCATTCTGATGTTACACTCATCGAGACCTTTCATTTGAGTACCCACATCAATTTTTTATATATTTCATATATTTACATATATTATATATATGTATATATATATATATAAAAAATATATCAAAAATGCATATGGGTACTCAAATGAAAGCTCTTGATGAGTGTAATATCAATACGAGCTTATATCTTTAGAAATATCAATATTTAAGAAAGTACAGTGCAATTTAACAAAAGTCATTATTTAATAAAGCAAAATTTTAGTTATTATAGTTCACAAGTTGTAGTGGTAACTCAAAAGTTGCTATTTTATTGTTATTTAAAATAATTATAAAAAAACTCACAAACAAATAATTACTCTTTTTTTTTTTTACATGACAAATATATTGCTAATTTTTTTTTTTATTTAATTTAATTGCAATAAGTAAAAAGATACCTACTTTAAAAAAAATTGCACAAATTTTATTAATAAAAAAAACTACAAAAATTTTTAAATGTCAGCTAATTTTTATGATAATTAATTAAAAAATTTTAGTCATTTATTTTATTGAAAAATAATTTTAAAAAAATTAAAAAAAACAATTTTTTTTCGCGATTTTTTTTTGCGATTTTAATGAAAATAAAGTTAGCAGACATCTAAAAATTTTTATGATTTATTTTAGGTATTTAAAGAATTATTTAAAAAAAATTAATCCATTGATGTCATGAAAAATTTTTTTTATTCATTTTCCCTAATAAGAATATTATTTTTCATTCCCTACGCGGGTCGCGGACCTTCTTATTTTTTTTATTATGGACGATCTTGTCCCAGCGCTCCGTACCCTATAGACAAAAATATATAATTATGTTAAATTTATGAAAAAAAACTGATTGATCTAATTATGGACATACTTTAGCCCCAATTATTGACACCTATACTAAGCATGTCTAGAATTATCTGCTTATTCTTATTTATCAAAATTTATATTAATATATAAGTAATTAATATTGTTCAAGTTTATTAATAATAATTTCCATAAATGATTAATTACTATTAAAAATATAAAAATTAATTTTTAAATAATTTATTGAATCAGAAGAGTTTTTCAAACTCTTTCAGTTAATTTTTTTTTGTTAAACCAAACTCTTTTGTTTTATTAAAAAAACAATATAGTAATATACAGATAAGTTGTGATAAAGTAAATTATATTTATGTAAAAATATATAATAAACTAGGAAAAAATAAGTAAAACTTCGTAAAACGTTGTAGTAATTAATAAAAAAAAAAAAAAGAAAAATGTAAGAAAAAGTCCGAAACCCCAATAGATGGACAAAATCTCCTGTAGATGGACAGTCAATACCAATAGATGAACACTACTTACAAGCGATATTTTCAATTCATTATTTATATTAGAAATAATTAATTTATTAATTTTTTCCACTAAAAAATAAAGCTTAATAAAATTAACGAGAAAAGGTGATAAATCGGATGGTAATTTTCAAAATACATCATAAAGTAATATTATTTTTGAATACGTGATGCTTTCTCGTGCAAAGTAACATATTATAAAATATATTAATATAAAGAATACTAATAATTAATAAATAATCCAAATAAATTTATAAAACACAACGTTAAAAATATTATATGTTGTCTTCTTCTTCCTTTTAATAGGTCTGTTCTCTTTTGCTTCTAAATTTTCTTCGCTCAAATTTTCTCTTTTATTCAGTGTTTTCTTTTTTCTCTTAAATTTCTTTAATAATCATAATAATATTTTCATTTTCAGTACATGTCTGTTTATTATAATCTTTACTCTTATTCTTTCGTTGATCCACCAAGAAAATTAAAAAAAAAATAAGAAAATTCATCATATAAACTCAATGTCCATCTATTGGATAGAGGTCAGAAAAGTGTCACCAATTTTATTTTATTTTATTTTTATTTTATTCAAAAAAAACAAACCCAACAGCCTAGGCCATTAAAAGAGTTAATAGATACATTAGTTATAAATTTTTATATAATTAAAATAAAACAAGATGCCTTATAACTATATTGCTATACAATGCGTGTTATTGAGCTAAGTTCCGCTGATTACAAAAACAGAGAAAATAATAATAATAAAAAAAAAAAATAAACAATACTTTAGTGTTTCAATTTTAAATAAAAAGTTAAAAAAAATTACTTTTCGCTCTCAGAACTATATGTAGTCATAAAAAAAAATAACGACTTAAGATTTTTGTTCTTAAAATTAATGGAATTGCTTCTGGAAATAATATTTGTCCATCTATTGGGGTATTTACCCTACCTTAAAAAAAGTTAAAAATTTACCTCATTTTTGCGCTGCGGTTGCTCATCGGCATTATACTCCCGTCAGGCTCGGAGATGATGGGCCCTGGATCTTCTTTTTTCCCCAAAACCTATTAAATAAAAAAAAAAAAAAATTAGGAATACGGTTGAGTTCGAAGATGAGCTTAATCGGTCGAGTAATTTCGAAATGACAGGATTTTGAAATTTTGAAAATCGTGAAAATTGATATTTTTACTGATCTAGACGAGATATCAAAATTCGGTAAAATGCATCGTAAAGCTCTTTTAATAAGCTTCAATTTTCACTACTCAGAAGTGGTAATAGCCTCAATATTACTCCTTTTAGAGTTCGTTCATTAGAACAGTTTTTAATGTTGCAGCCGTTTTAGAATTATTGTAGCTTAATCATGATGTAAATTCAATAATTAGGATAATGATCAGTCTTTCGTGTGATGTTTTCGGGTAATGCGTCAGTAAATATATCACAAATTAGTTCTATATATTGTTTTCTTCAATTAAAATTTTATCCGGTTTCAAAATTCTGATTAATTTGGAAATTGTTGTTCCTAAGCAGTTACTTAAAATTTGGTCATTAATAATTCAAATCTTATAATCTTTGCAATTCTTTGGTAAATATTTGAGAAACTTTTTTTTCACAAGTTACTTTCATAATTAACTTTTTTTTGTAAAAAAAAAAATAAAAATTTTACTTACAATTTTTTTTTAATAGTGTTCTTGGAGTCCGGGTTCTCCCTCTCATATCTCTCCCGGTTTAAGCTCCGTTGGCCCTAAAAAAAAAAATTAATTCATATAAATAAATCAAACGATTGACCCTAAAGGTCATCCCTGCAAATTTTTGTTTACTAAATATCTAAGCGTTAAACTTTTATCTATATAAGGTAAAAGACCCAGTTACTGACACATCTAACGTTATTTTGAATTAAAAAAAAAAACATTTCATTAAATAGTTTTATTTTTTTAAAATTAAAATTAATTAATTATGTACAACGTAATTAATGATATTTCCAACCGTGAAAAAAACAATAACTTAATAAAAAAAATTCTGGCCCAAATAAAAAAACTGGTCCCATATCATGCTTTCACGTTCATAATATTTTAAAGAAATTCTTAACTTTTTTATAATCCAAAAATTATTTACTCCAATTAAATATTTTAATAAATTAATTATTAAATAAATAAATATTAAGTATTATAAAAAATTTAAGATAAATTTAAATTAAAAAATTATGAGTGTGAATCTGGCAGACATCCGACGACAATTGAAAACTTCAACTATCGATATCTTCATGAATATATCGATTGGTACGATTTTGACGACGGGCTCTGACGCGTATTTGAATTGTCTACAAAAGCATTTTTTTTTTTTTTTTTTAAA